ATATTTATATGACCTTCTACACCTTAATATACTATGTTGTTTTTTTGACGTTTTTTGCCATACTATACTATGACGTTTTTTGAAATTTTTCTGTCAAACTATACTTTGACGTTTTTTGGCATTTTTATGCCTAATTATATTATTTCATCACATGCCTTGCCATACTATGACGTTTATATGATCTTTTATGCCTTAATATACTATGATATTTTTTTGACGTTTTTTGCCATGCTATACTATGACGTTTTTTGGCATTTTCTGCCATACTATACTTTGATGTTTTTTGGCATTTTTATGCCTAATTATATTATTTCATCACATGCCTTGCCATACTATGACGTTTATATGACCTTTTATGCCTTAATATACTATGTTATTTTTTTGACGTTTTTTGCCATACTATACTATGACGTTTTTTGGCATTTTCTGCCATACTATACTTTGACGTTTTTTGGCATTTTTATGACTAATTATATTATTTCATCACATGCCTTGCCATACTATGACGTTTATATGACCTTTTATGCCTTAATATACTATGATATTTTTTTGACGTTTTTTGCCATACTATACTATGACGTTTTTTGGCATTTTCTGCCATACTATACTTTGATGTTTTTTGGCATTTTTATGACTAATTATATTATTTCATCACATGCCTTGCCATACTATGACGTTTATATGGCCTTTTATGCCTTAATATACTATGATATTTTTTTGACGTTTTTTGCCATGCTATACTATGACGTTTTTTGGCATTTTCTGCCATACTATACTTTGATGTTTTTTGGTATTTTTATGACTAATTATATTATTTCATCACATGCCTTGCCATACTATGACGTTTATATGACCTTTTATGCCTTAATATACTATGATATTTTTTTGACGTTTTTTGCCATACTATACTATGATGTTTTTTGGCATTTTCTGCCATACTATACTTTGATGTTTTTTGGCATTTTTATGCCTAATTATATTATTTCATCACATGCATTGCCATACTATGATGTTTATTTGACCTTTTACACCTTAATATACTATGTTGTTTTTTTGACGTTTTTTGCCATACTATACTATGACGTTTTTTGGCATTTTTATGCCTAATTATATTATTTCATCACATGCCTTGCCATACAATGACGTTTATATGACCTTTTATGCCTTAATATACTATGATATTTTTTTGACGTTTTTTGCCATACTATACTATGACGTTTTTTGGCATTTTCTGCCATACTATACTTTGATGTTTTTTGGCATTTTTATGCCTAATTATATTATTTCATCACATGCATTGCCATACTATGATGTTTATTTGACCTTTTATGCCTTAATATACTGTTTTTATTTTGACGTTTTTTGGCATTTTTAGGACAAACTATACTATGACGTTTTTGTGCCTTTTTATGTCTTACTACATCATTTCGTCTTATGCCTTGCCATATTATGATGTTTTTATGACCTTTTATGCCTTAATATACTATGATGTTTTTTTTGACATTTCATGCCATACTATACTATGACATTTTTTGGCATTTTTATGCCATAGTATAGTATGATTTTATTTGGCATTTTTATGTTTTTATGCCTTACTATACTCTGTCGTTTGATGCCTCACCATATTATGACGGTTTTATGACCTTTTATGCCTTAATATACTATGATTCTTTTTGACGTTGTATGCCATATTATACCATGACGTTTTTTGGCATTTTTATGCCTTGATATACCATGATGTTTTTTTGACTTTTTATGCCATAGTATACTATGACGTTTTTTGGCATTTTTATGCCTTGATATAACCTGATGTTTTTTTGACTTTTTATGCCATAGTATACTATGACCTTTTTTTGGCATCTTTATGCCTTACTGTACTATGTTGTTTGATGCCTCACCATACTATGACGTTTTCATGACCTTATATGCCTTAATATACTATGTTTTTTTGACGAAAAAAACTATGTAGTAAATAAAGGCATAAAAAGTCATAAAAACGACTTAATATAGTAAGGCATAAAAATAGAAAAGAAATTAACATAGTATAGTATGGCATAAAAACATCAATAATGTCATAGTATTGTAAAGTCATAAAAACCACACACTATATAAGGCATAAACACATCAAAACATGTCATAGTATAGAAATGTCTAAAAAGTGAAAAAAAACGACAAAGTATAGTAAGGCATAAAAACGTGAAAAAAACGTCATAGTATAATAAGGCTTAAAAATGTCATAAAAACATCATAGTATATAAGGCATAAAAGGTCAAAACACGTTATACTATTCTAAGCAATAAAAATTAAGTGACAACCCCTCATAAAAAGTGAAAAAAACGACATAGTATACTATGGAATAAACACGTCATACTATAGTAAAGCATAAAAACGTCATAATATACTAAGGCATAAAAAGTGAAAAAATGTCATAGTATAGTAAGGTATAAAATGTCAAAAAATGTCATAGAATAGTAAGGCATAAACACGTCAAAAAACGTCATAGTATAGTAAGGCCTAAAAAGGCATAAAAACGAAATACTATATAAGGCTTTTATCACGTCAACAAATGTCATAGTATAGTAAGGCATGAAAAGTGAAAAAAAACATGTTATGGCATAAAAAGTGAAAAAATGTCATAGTATAGTCGGGCCTAAAAAGGCATAAAAACATCATACTGTACTAAGGATTAAAAAGGTCAAAAAACGTCATAGTATAGTAAGGCCTAAAAAGTAAAAAAAAAAAAAACCCACATACCGTACTATAGTATGGCATAAAACGTCATAATGTACGACGTTTATATGACATTTCATGCATTACTAGTCTATGAGTTTTTTTTATGTTTTTATGACTCATTATAACATGACTTTTTATGCTTTAAAATACTATTACATTTTTATGCCTTACTATATTATGATGTTCTCATGTCTTACTATACAATGAGTTATTTATTAGGCGGCACGGTGCAGTGGTTAGAGCGGTTAACTCACAGTGAGGTTGTGGGTGTGAACCCTGAACAGTCCAAAGACATGCATAGCTTAACTGTCATAACTGGCAACTCTAACTGACTTGTTTATGCCTTATTATACTATGACTTTTTTCATGCCTTACTATATAATGACTTTTTCTGCCTTAGGAAATTATGACTTTTTTATGTTTTACAATACTATGATATTTTTATGCCTTACTATACTATGACTTTTTGATGCCTTAATATACTATGACGTTTTTATGCCTTATTATACTATGATGTTTTTAATCCTTACAATACTATGACTCTTTATGCGTTACTGTACTATGATGGTTTTTTTTGCCTCGCTATACTATGACGTTTTTATGCCTTACAATACTATCACGTTTCTATGCCTTATTATACTGACATTTTTATTCCTTATTATACTATGACGTTTCTATGCCTTGCTATAATATTATGTTTTTATGCATTACTATACAATGACTTTTTATGCCTTAGCATACTATCACATTTTTATGCCTTACTATACTATAACTTTTTATGCTTTACTATACCATGACTTTGTATGCTTCAATATACTATGACGTTTTTATGCCTTATCTTATATGTCTATAATACAGACAGACATACTACAATACATATTTTATATTAATGAATTAATATTATTCATATGTAATTATATGATATTGGTGCAATTTCTAACAGGTTTTATACGTAATTTTTACTTCATATATACAAATATTTCATTTATGGAAATTCGACACATGTTCATATACACTGCCCAAAAAATTAAGGAAACACTTAATCATCACAGTATAACACCAAGTCAGTTAAACAGGGTGATCAATCTGTCCATTTAGGAAGCACAAGTGATTGTGAATCAATTTCATCTGCTTTGGTGCAAATGAACGTGAAAACAGGTGCAATGGAGGGCCAAAAGCAAGACAACCCCCATAAAGGGACTGGTTTTGCATGTGGTGGTTACAGACAATTGACCTCTCCTTACCCTATGTTATGCTAGTGTCCTTGTCACTACTGGTAGCATGAGGCGGTACCTGCAGCCCAATCGCAGTATGCACAGGTAGTACCGTTCCTCCAGGATGGCACATCCATACATGCGGTCACAAGAAGGTTTGCTGTTTCTCCCAGAAAAGTCTCAAGATAATGGGAGAGACACCAGGAGACTGACCGTTACACGAGGAGAGCTGGACAGGGCTGTAGATGAGCATGTGGGGGCCATACACACTACTGAGCCACATTATGAGTTGCCATGATGAAATTCATACAAGTTGGATCAGCCTGTGATATCAATTTTTCACTTTGATTTGCGGTGTGATTGTGAATCCAGCCCTCAGTTGGTTGATGATTTTGGTTTCCATTGACCGTTGTTACATTATTTTGTTCTCAACAAATTATACAATTTACATTAGCAAAGATTTTCAACCTGAATAATTTGTTCATCAAGATCTGATGTGATGTGATTTAAGTGTTCCATTAATTATTTTGAGCAGTGTATTACTTTTGCGTAAGGGCATTCCTGAATGTAAATTCAGATCTTATATGTTAATAAACTGTTTGGTTGACGGAATTAATAGGCCAATCTCTTTGTTTTGGAGGGGTGGCAGGCTTGTTGCGTCCCTACCAATGTTGAGACCAAACCTACACCCTTGGGTTCAGTGGTTGTAATCACAGACTCTGCATATCCACAGCAGAGCCAGCAGCCGGGGAGCGGAGCTAACTAATCACTTGAGATTGATTCAGAGCTTTGCCTTGACTGTGAAGAGGTGGAGATCTTAACAAGTAGCTTGGGGACTCTTGTCAAAGCCACCATGGTTACTAACTGACAACAAAACATAGGCGTGATTCTGCCCTTTAAAAGCACCACACCACACACAGAGGACACAGTCTTTGTCACTGTTAAAGTACAGGGTGTTTACTGACATCCTTTATAACCTTTATTACTATATTACTATTATTACTATAACCTTTTTTTAAATACATATATTACATATCTGACCCTTTTCTGCAGAGGTGAGATGTCCTCCTCCACCCTCGGCCAGTCGCGGCCTCTTGTCTCAAACCTGGAGCCTGGGATGGGGAAATCTGCAGCCATGCTGGGGTTGTCAGCTGGGCTGGGGGGAGCAGAGATGGAGCTGCAGAAGATGCTTATTGATGAGAGGATGAAATGCGAAAACCACAGGACCAACTACCAGACGCTAAAGGCTGAACATGCCAGGTAAAGCTAAATGGAATTTAACGTTTACGCTTTTTAATTTCTTTTTTTATCAGTCTATTGGTGTCTATTTTATTTGTATGAACATTGAGGGAATGTAAATCAAATCCTTTAGAGTTGATATGACATACTAACACGGTATCCATGCAGCAGCAGGAACATGGGGAAAAATAATCTTTTTATAACCAACAAAACATCAGCAACACTGATACAGGGGTCATACTTTTACAGGGAAAACTCTTCAGTCATTAGAGAGTGAGGAGACAATATGCATTTTAAAGTTAAGTCTGTTTTTCCACCACATACTGAGCTTCACAGTTTGCAATGGTAGTCAGCTGTGGTATCTTCTTCGCAGCCTGCAGGATGAGTTCACGCGGGCACAGGGTGAACTGAAGCGGCTGCTGGGCGACAGGCAGGCCCAGCAGGAGAAACTGCAGCTGCTGTTGGCTGAGCTGCGAGGAGAGCTGCTGGACAAAACCAGGGAGCTGGAGGAGCTTCGACTGCAGGTAAACTCTTGATGAAGAGGAGAGGACATCTCAAAGGGTTAAACCTATGCCCCTTTTTCCCCCAAAAAATTTTAGATTCACAATTGATTGGTCAAAGGTCAGAATCTGCATTTACAGACTTGCACAAAAAGACGCATTTGTTTCTCATGTGGTTGAGATTTATGGGTAAATTTTTTTTAAATCACCTCTGTGCAACTGAACCTCACTGACCTTCTGGATAGAAATGTGTGTGTGTTTATGTGTTGACCAGGTGATGACCCCTCAGCGGTTGGAGTTGCTCAGAGCTCAGGTGCAGCAGGAGATGGAGGCTCCAGTGAGAGAGAGGTTCAACAAACTGGAGGAGGTCAGCCTCTGTCTTTTCATTTCTTTATTACAAGTCACTAACATCAGACACAAGTCAGCTCTCTGGGACTGAGCAGCTGCTGACCACAGTCCCTATGAGAGAGAACAGTGGTGTTACTGATAGAACTACAACCTATTTGCTTCTGGACTGTGCCTGGTTTGCATTTGGATGAACTCATATTTAAAGTTAGCTTGACATGAGTTGCTGTCCTGCCTCACAAAGATGCTCTAAATAAAAAGACGTGGGATTTATTGCCAGCGGAGACTTCAGCTATGTCCTTTGGGAATCAGTACAACAATGTACTCTAATATAGTACAACACTGATACCAAGACACCAACCTCAGCACAGTGAGAAATGCTGGAACATGTTTTTTCACCTTTACTGTCGTTCTGTGGAATTTATTGTTAATTATCTACATGATTAATCAGCTGAAATGGCCTCTACTGAAGAGGGAAATTGCTGCCATTATTCTTTAGTACCTGCTCGAAACAAGGCATCAGCAGATGTGACTATCAAGTCCATAGCAACAGTCAGGATATTAGCATTGATTGCCTTTTGAAAATCATCTGTGCTTTCAAAGGAGTAGCAGCTAATTTCCATTTTTGTCTGCCTGATTGCTCCCTCTCTCCTCTCACTGATTTGTGGCTAATGTGTGTACTTGTGGTTCTTTGTAGGAGACGGAGAAGTACAGGTCTGAGTACAACAAGCTGCGGTATGAGTTCACTTTCCTCAAGTCCCAGTTTGACCACCAGAGGGAAGAGCATGCTCGTATCCTGGAGGAGAGGAGGATTCGCTATGAGGCAGAGGTGTGTGTGTGTGTATTTGAATCATGACTTTAAGTTCTTGTGATACACTAGTATTAATTTAGAAGTTGAGATCTAAAACATTCACTGTTCACCTGTTGTCAGCTCTCTCGTCTGGAGAAGGACAGGGAGGACCTGGTGGCTCAGTACCAGGGTTCGGACTCAATGCGTGACGGGAAACGAGTGGAGGCTCTGCTGAGGGAGAAAGCCCAGCTCCACCTGCGGCTAAAGGGGCTGGAGGCGGAGGTGGCCGAGCTCCGAGCCCAGAAAGAGAACTCGGGTCAGCAGGCTGAGAACGTCCAACGTATCCAGATCAGACAGCTGTCAGAGTCTCAGGCTGCAGTGAAGTCACTAGAGGTGAGACAACAGACATGGTTGCAGGTCACTGCATTGGAATTAAAACTGCACTGTCATCAGTTTTTGTCTGATGTTTGTTTTTTTGCTGCAGCAGTTTTTAAATTTAAATTTTAAATTTGACTGTTTGACAGGCGGAGCGTCAGTCGTTGCGCCTGCAGCTTGAGCGGATGGAGAGCGAGCTTCACCAGAGCCACGAGCAGAACAGCCAGCTCACCGGACGACTGCACAAAGCTGAGAGAGAGGTCAACTCCCTCACCTGTCAGGTATGCTGATCTTTGACCTCTGACCCCTGAGATGTTTTATAAACAATAACATCATGACATGAGCCATTATTGAGCACTGTCTGGGTTTCAATGGCAGATTAAGTTTGAGGGATATGATTGGTGTAGGGCTGGGACGATTATCCGACGTAATCGAATTGTCGATTATAAAAATTATTCGACGTGGAATTTTAGTGTTGACGCGTCGTGTAAAACCACACAGGGTAAATGTTCATAGAACAAAACCGGAACTTTCTAATGGGACCGTTTATATCCATCGTCTTTGGTTTACCCGGATACAAGCGCAGCGCAAGGGCTGGGACAATGCGGTGACGTAATTGAAGTCATTGACTACGTGAATGATTTGCGTCTGTGGGAAAAAAAAAAAAGAAAAAAGATTTGCGTCTGTGTAATCTATTTGAACAACATGGCGGCGTCTACCAGCAATACGACGGAGCGTGTGGAGCAACACGAGGCAAAAAAGGCTCGCACACTACTCGCAAATTACTCGCAAATTACTGTTAGGTTAATAAAAAAAAATCGTTAGATTAGTCGAATAATCGAAAAAATAATCGCTAGATTAATCGTTTAAATAATAATCGTTTGGGACAGCCCTAGATTGGTAAGTTTATTAGAAACATAAAACGTGAACTTGTTTCTCTCTAAGTTTCATTCATTGGCTTTTACTGTTTTTGTCACAACATGAATTCACATGTGTGTTTTGTTGTCCTGAGAGGATTGAGGCTAAAACCCAGTCGGACCTGTTGTGCTAATGTTATTGTGCCAATGCAGCTGCCTGTTGAGTCATAGCTAAGACGCTAAAAGAGGACTACAACAAATACACTTGTAGTGGAAAACACCTCACCTGTATAGTTACTAGTTTATACCGTGGATGATGTTAGACTGGGATGATGACAGACACAGTCTCTACGGCCTCATGCAGACTGATTTTTTTTCTCTCCCTTCTCTGGTTCTCAGATTGAAAGTCTGAAGCATTCACACAAACTGGAGGTGGCCAGCGTCAAACTGGAGTGTGCCCGCTCTAGAGGGGAGGTGGAGAGGGAGAGAGACACACTGCAGGGGCAGAGAGATGGTATGAAACACACACACACAATGCTCATGTTTCTCTGCAGTGAGATGCCTGACTTCCTCACTTTCTGGTCTGATCATAATCTCCTAATCTGGTTTGGAGTACTCTGTCCTTTGTCATCCACCTCTTCCTCACATGTTCATCTGGTGGGAGTTAAATTTGACCGTTAAAAGCAGCTCAGAGCTACAAAAACATGTATCAACAAGAATCCCAAAGACATTTAACCCAGAGTTGTTTCTTTTCTGAACCAATTCATCCGTTTTATCATTAATTACTGTTTCTGAACACGTATAAACTCGCCTTAGCGCTTCACTGCTTTCCCTCTCTCCAGTTCTGCTCCAGAGACAAAAACATACACCCACCCCCAGGAGTTTTCTGGATGGGTGTGAGTGTGTTGTCTGTGAGAGGGAGAGAGCAAAAGGAGCAAAATGCCAAAGTGAATTTCATGTTGGCAGCTTGAAACAATCATGTGACAATTTATACTTGATGATTGTGATATAGTCATTTACTACATTCCACATGGAACAAGCAGCAGTACATCGAGTATATTTGATATATTGCCTGCCCCACTTGTTGAATTTTTCATTTATGGTCATATTTACATCACTGAGCTGAACCTTCTTAGAGTTTAAAGTGTCCTGTATTCCTCTTTGGAATACACTTTGTGAATCTCTGTCACCCTCTCACAGTCACCTGTGTGTCTCAGGTCTGCAGGCAGATGTGGAGGTGCTACAAGCTGCAGTGGAGCGACACAGAGAGGTTGTGGTGGAGAAGGAGAGGGAGATGGTGAGGAAAGTGCAGTCTGCCCGGGAGGAGGAGTTCCGCAAAACTGCAGTTTTACATGAGGAAAAGTGAGAATCACATTTCAGATACTGATATCAGAGGTCTGAGTCTGATTTTAAATTCCTTATTGGTACAAAATCTCTACATTTCATTTTTCTGTTGTCAGGTTGGAGTTGGAGAACCGTCTCGCAGCACTGGAACAGCAGAGGGCATTGCAGGACGCTGCAGAACACGCCCAGAAGGAGGAGTGGGAGGAACGGGTCCGTAGTGCCCAGCAAGGCGAGGAGTCAACCCGCAGGGAAGTGCAGAACCTGAGGTCAGTGGGGTAGAAAATCTACACAGCTGCATGAGTCAGAGGGGAAGTGTGCTGAGGCTGAGCCACGTGGTGACATTATGTGAACTCTGAGGTTCAGATACTGTTGAATGAAACTAATAAGAGCACATGGAGGGGCCATGCATTCATTTGTTGAAATACATTTAGATGAAGTCAAACTGCAGGGGTGAGATCATGCACTGCGTATACCAGCCAATTAAGAGCTCAATTTGCTTTTCAGCCTCTTTACTCCAGTTCCTGTACAAACATGCTGGGGAACAGAAACTGGAGCAAACAGGTCATTACCAAAATAATGGTGTCAGGGTTCAGCTCATCCAATGTTTGAGATTTTTTTTTTTTTTCATTTTATGCCAATACAATACAGCAGGTGTATGATCTCCATTTGTGCAAGAAAAAAGGGGAAAATAACAAAATGAACAAGAATAAAATGAGCTTTTCTGCATGGTGACATTATATTAAATGTTTATTTCATGTTTTACACAGAACAAAACTTCAGCAGCAAAGTTCACAGCTTGAGGAGCTGGAGAGACAGAGAGCAGAGATATCTGAGCTGCAGCAGGTAAGTCGGCACAATAAAAACCAAAAAACAAACCTAGTATAGTTCGTATGCTTTAAATAACTGGTTTTATTTGACCCAACAGCAGAACCAAGATCTAGGTGTCCAGCTGGGGACGCTGTCGCACTCTGAAAGTGACTTGATGGAGACCAACCAGCGCCTCAGAGAAACCCTGGACAGAGTCAGAGAGGAGCTGAGGACGGCCCGAGGCCAGGCTGAGAAGAGCCAGCACGAGGCAGAGAGGTTCAGCTGCTGGTCTGCTCTGTCTTCACATAAAAAAGCTTAACTCAACATGAGGCTTAATGCTCTCTGTCTTTTCTCCATCGTTCATCCTTCTCCAGGATGTTGGAAGACCGTCAGGTTGAGTGGTTGGAGGAGAAACACAAGCTGCAGGACCGAGAGGCCGAGCTGCAGCAGAAATACTCTCAGGTCAAAGAGAAACTGCAGAGGGCAGCGGTGGCTCAGAAGAAGGTACAGCTGTTTCCTACAATGTCTCTCATCTCAGCCGATTGGAAATGATACAACATTTTAGCTTTCAGAAAGGATTTAGATCCATTTACAAAGAGAGGTTTGTTTTCTGCTTCTCAAAATGTATTCAGAAATCATGTTTAGTGTCACCTGTTCTCGTACAGTGAGAGCAAAGGGCAGGTGGTCTCACATCCTTTGTCCTGTCACATGTCTACACACAGTTTTTAGCATTGTAACACTGACATGGTTTTAAAAGAGACTTGAATTTTTTTCTTTGTGGAAGCTGCAGATAATGTGTGTGTGTATGTGTGTGTGCTGTGTAGAGGAAAACACTGACAGAGAACAAAGAGAAGAGGCAACAGGATAAGATCCAGCTGATGGAGGCAAAGTTAGAAGAGCTGGAGCTGGAAGCTGCTGCAGCAAAGAAGTAAACATCAATTCTCATTTTCTGAATGAAATAATCCTGACACGTTAAACTGATGGTCAGATGTACTTTTTTCTGAGTAACACGCCGCCCTAATTGATGTGATATTTCTTGTAAGGACGAGTTCCTCAGTCAAATCTCCAACAAACTTAAAGTGGCATTTTCATTTAAAAACATGTCTGTTAAGTCACGTTGAGGCAACGTAATGGTAATTGAGCCTATGGTTCACTGATGAAAGTATTGCAATATTTACAGTATTAAGAACTGAGTATCAATGGCAACATTATTGTAAAAAATGTTGTATTAAGTTGCTGCTAATGCAAACCGATCATTTCCTACTGCTGCAGTTTCACATTAAATCACAAAGCAGAAGTTATTATGAAGCAGTCAGTAACTGCAGGTGGCGCCAAATCAACTAGGGCTGAAATCTTCCAGTCTGCCACATTACAACCTAATTTCATTTGTTCCCCCCTTTGGTCCAGACGTTCATCATTCTCAGAGGAACAAGCTCAACTCAGCAGACGGATGAAGGAGCTGCAGCGACGACACAACGAGTTTCGACGCCTCCTACTGGGAGGCCAGGGTCCGTTCAGCGCAGGCCCTGCGTACCTGACCTCCTCACCCACCCCCCTCCTCCTCCTCGGGTCTGAGGGGCCGTTATCCAACATCCCAGTAAGTACAGCAGTGACCAGACATTTTGGCAGCAAGAGAGAAATCCTTCATAAAAGGGGCACAGAGACTTAATTTCTACACCCACAGCAGCAGGAAATAGTCCAGAATGCATTGCAGCAATGGCACGTTTTGAGGAAATGCAGCCTCCTACTCTGACTCTCCCTTCATTTACGCAAAAGCCACACCTCATACTTTTCGCTGTGGGTTGTTAAGGGGCATCCCTTCAAATGTCACAGATCAACTGTTAAGTCAGTCTGGAGCCGAGCTGCTTCTCCACAGTAAAACCAACAAGTAAACAACTTATTTAAGTGACACACAGGAAACAGGTTGCATGTTCAAATGCAAATTACACCCATGACATAATAAAGCCAGCATTTTTTTGTGTGAGTGTGTGAATGGTGTTAATCTACATTTACAAAGAGAAGCTGTCCTAACGTGTGTCCCTTGTGCTGCAGGAGGAGCAGCATCAGAGGGAGCTCTCTCTGCTGCGTAGGAGGCTGGAGGATCTGGAAAGTGCCCAGCAGCAGCAGCTGGAGGAACTGGGATCTATGGTGCAGAGGGAGCGGGACCCCAGTCTCCAGCCTGACCTCTGACCCCTACACTGCAGAGTGAGGTGGAGCCCTGTTTACAAATCAAGGACACCAACAGTGTTTTTACAGAATAGAAACATTTATTGGTGTATTTACAAAAATGGAGTGATACATTTTGTCAGCGTTGACATGTCCCACTCGTGTTGCGATGGTGGGGACTGCTGCAGCACCTTTATTTTTTTTTTTAATTGACCATGTCGTCCTCAGGATTTAATTTTGTATTGCTATGCTTTTTGTTTGCTCTTCAACCTCGTTGAAGTTTTTGTGTGTGGGGGAGTTGATACAAAGGTTCAGGACACTACAGGCTGTTTGCACAGTGTTTACACAGACTGTTGATGTCCAACATGTTTTACTTGAATTGTATTAAATGAATAATGATTTACAGAAACTTGTTTGGGACATATCTGTGGTTTTGCCTTGGTTGTACACTTTGAGAACTAATCGTCCATCAGACAGCAGATGTGTCACATACAGACACTAAACTGCATTCAGTAGACATGTCCTTTTATACAAGTTTTATAGAGCACAGATTTGTGCTATTTTAATGCTAAAAATTTCCAGGATTGTGAGTTTCCAAAAGACCTTTGTCATGATGGGACAGAAAACACACACACCTCCTCACTGACATGGTTGTCAGCTCCTCTGAAACAGTTTGTGAACTCAGTACCTCAGAGGATGATGGACGCCAAAGTCTCTTGACTCCTCACAGCTTCAGAGCTCCACTGAGTTCATTCATATGAGTGAAAGTCAGGCAGCTCAGTTCCAGGTGCAGCTCTTCAGTCCATCAAACAAGTTTTTAATGTGATGTAGTTGCTCCGTCAGCTCAGTGGGGGCGCCGTTCTGGTCAAGCTTCTCTTTTATCTGTGGAAAATGAATCCAGTGTCAGTTTACAGGAATGTTGCAATTTTAAAATCTACATTTTCTAGTCAAACTTCTGCTCAGTGGAGTGACAACTGTTCCTGACTAATCCTTCTGCTTGTGTCCAAAAACATTCATGAAAACAAACAGACAAGATTCCTTCATATTCAAGTTTTATCTCTTTATGAATTCTTTGTAAAGACTTGGAATAAGTCAGATTAGTCCTCTTATATTGATTTATACTGACAAGTCAAATCATTGTTGGTTTGCATTTTGAAATGTGACAGGAACAGGAAGCAACTGCCTGATAAAGTAGAGAGAAAATCAGAGGGTTTTAAATCTCATTTCCTCTACACGCACACTGGTTTCACAAGTGTCTCTGTGGCTGTTGCTCGTCTGGACAACACCCCAGATACAAGGTCACAACAAATAAAATGTGGGTAAACTAGGAGTTGTGGTGCTCATAAAAACAGAAACCACAAGAATAACACATTTCTAATGTTATGACCTCACATGCTTCTGTTGAAACCACTTGTTGGTAATGGTGGTTTTGCCTAAAGAAAGACAAAATAATAATAAGAAGGTGGGTAAAGCTCATTTAAAGTTAGATGGTTTTCACACTGCAGCCAAAATCCCCGTTAACATTTGTCATCGCCCACACACTCAGACCGGATGATGTGTAATCAGTGTGAAAAACAAAAGGCTCCACTCCATGTTTTCCAATTCCAGTCCTGGTTGTGTTTTTCTCCAGTGTCACTGTTCACCTCAGAGAGCAGGTTATCAGTGTGTCAATGTGCAAACTGCAAATAAAATGTGTTGAGACAAATCTGTATGTAGCATCTCAAACATCATCCTCACTTCACCCAAAGCACCCACAGTGACTTCAGAAAGTGAGAAGAAAATGTGTGAGCTGCTCTTGAGAAGAAAAGTACTGACCTCAGTGAAGTATCGCTGGATGAATCTGTAGAGCTCTCGGAGGGCTGCGGCTTCGTTGAATTCATTTTCATGTTTCTGAAATAAAAAACAGTCATCTTTCACTGCTGGTCTTCACCGAGCCACTTTTTTTTTTTTTCTTTTAGATTTTATATTGAAATGGACGTTACCTTCGACTCCTGCTGCAAGAAGTCCTTGAATTCTGAGTCTGTGATTGGTGACTGCTCTCTGATCTGCTTATAGTACGCCTTCACTTCCTGTTTGAACTTGGGAATATCTTTGGCATACAGGAGCTTGTTGGTCGGTGCGTGCTGGAACACAATAACATTCAAGTATTGTGACTTTTTGGTGCAAACTTCCTGTGAAAAGATGTTGATTTTACTTCTGTATTAGAGTTGACATCAACCACTGAGTGCACTGTCTCAGCAGAGGAAGGCAAACTGGACTTCCTGCGCTTCTTGTCAGAATGAAATGTGAGACTTGTCTTATACTTTACCTTCCCCAGCTGGGTCTCACTGAGGGAGAAGGAGTCCATGAAGGCCTGAGCGATGACGGACAAGCAGCCGTCCAGATGTGGCGTCTTCTCCATGTCGAAAACAAACTGGGGGTTTTTCAGGATGTTGACCCAGAAGCGCAGAGGCAAACTGTGAAGAAAGTGTAAAGACTCGTCAGGCAGACGCTCTACCATCCCTACATTTATTTGTTCTGACTTGTCCACAGAACTTTGGATGACCCAGCTGTACCTGTTGGTCTTCCAGATGTGCAGGACATCTGGGTCGGTGATCTTCATGTAGTCTGCCTGAGTGTCCAGGAAGTCAAAGAAGTATTTGACAGCATGCAGAGCTTTGCTGTGCTGTGTCCCCCAGATGGTCTTGAACAGGTTCTCCACAAATGAATGCACGGCCACCTTAGAGAGAGAACGAGGTGATTTCATTTCTGCTGTTCAGAAGTACACTGAGCAGGAAAAGAAATTTCAAGTTCCAAATTTAGTTTAAATTCCTCTCATCTGAGATAACTCTACATGTTTCCCCTGTCAGTAGAACTTGCTGTTGCTTATTAATTTCCTGCTTTCCTAGAAAAGGGAAGATCAAAGTGACACCTGCTTTTTTTCTAAGTTGAAAACAAAATCTTCTTCAAACTCAGCAAAGCTAAGCTCAGGGTGTGAGTGACAGAAATGGCAGCTTCCTGTATCAACTCTGCTGCTGGTGGTAAAAATAACCACGGCAGAGGCAGATTCTAGTATCAGTTCTGCTCGTGTTGGAGTGAGTGTCTGGTTCCCTTGCCTTGGTGGAGAGCAGCTTGGTGAGGTGCACTTCCTTCAGTTTTAACTTCTTCCTCTCTGGGTTCTTTCTCTGGTCCTCGTCTACATCAGGATCAATCTGCCGGTAAAGAAAACACCAGCCACCAGTTCATCTCAGCCCAAACTAACCTTCAGTATCCTGTGATATCTGAACATCTGATGAGTCACTTCAGCAAACACAAAACACAACGTGTCTCTTACCAAGTGGAAGTATTTTCCAGAGAAGTTCTCATCATCTGGAGGGAAAATGAGCAGAAATCAACAGTGATTATTAGCAGAGATAATTAACATCTTCTTTTCTGTAATCACTGAGATGTAATATACAGCTCATAAAGAAAAGCTCTGAATGAAAGAAGGTTATGCTTCAGTATTTGAAACTGACCACGACCCATTTCTAAATCCTCCTATAGGCTGCACAGTAAATCTGGGACATTTCTAAAGGTGACAGTGGTGGAGAGCAGCAGAGAAACAGTTAATGTGCATCTCCAAAGGAGCTGAAAACATTTACTTTCTCCCACTGAACACTCGGGTTGTCACCAAAATAACAAAATACTCAAAGCTGAAGCTCCACTTAAGCTGACTGGAGCTGACTGTTTGTTCGAGCTGGCAGGCTTTACTTCATTAGGACTTTGAGTGTCGACTAGAACTGAAACAATTAGTCAATTAATCAATTAGTCAATCAACAAAAAAATCTAACTATTTTGATAATCAAATAATCATTTCAGTCATTTCTCAAGAAAAAATAGTGATAAAAAATGTGAGGATTTGTTGCTTTTCTCAGCTTGTAGTAAACTGAACATCTGTTTTTGAATAAACAATTCACTAATTGATCAAAAAAGGCAGATGAATTTATAATGAAAACAATAGTTAGTTTAGTTGAGATTATTTTTACACATACTGGTCTCAAAGTCAGACTTGAACCTTCACGGCTGGTGCAGAAACTACCAGATGCTGTTCAGAGACTTATCACTGCAACTAATTGTAAACTCTTAAATCCTTTGTTTGTCTTTTAAGTTTCAAGCAACCTCATGTGTTTTTATCCTGCTAGCTTTGCTTTACAGCTCCGTCATGAACTGCTCTGAATAGAAGAATCAGCTGTTCATCTCAAAGTGAAATGAAGGGAACGGTTTGACATTTGACGAGTGAGATACAAAGTGCTGCCGAGCTTTAGATGTGTTGCTAGGCAACCTGCTTCCAGTCTTAATGCTAAGCTAAGCTAAACACCTCCTGGTTCTGTCTCCATACTTAATCTACTGATGTGCAAGTAGTAACAATCTTCTCAGCTCTCACCCTTCAGACTTCCCTGTGGGCTCAGAGGAGGACGAGTTTTCTTAGAAAGCACTTTGATCGTTGCTCCATCAGGAACCTGCAGGAGAACAAAAACAGGATGCTGCTGTTTTAGTGAGAGGTTCATCAAACATCAGCTTTCCAGGAACTAAAGAAAACCTTTATTTAACATTTGCGCAATAAAACTCAAAGGTCTGATATTTTAAAAACTTTTCCTGTGTTTTATTTGTTGATCCATAATCACCGTAGTTTTACATCTCCTCTCTCAGGCTTCTCTCTGGAGCTCTAGTAACAACAGGTCAGTGAGCCAATCAGAAGAGAGGAGGTTCCAAGCTTCTCTTCTGATTGGCTGACTGTTTACTGAGTAACTGAATAAAAATATAGCAGATTTCAGGTAAACACCCAGAGAAAACAAATCCTGCAAGGTTGAACGGTGGGTCCAGGTGGGAGGGGCGTGGCAGGAGTCCTGGCAGCTCGTTTTAAAGCTCAGTTTCTGAATACAGGTTCTACATTAATATAGATCCTAGACCTGCTTTATAATCACAAAAGACATGGAAATCTACCTTTATACAATATGGGACATGTAATTTAAAACTAAAATTTTCAGTGTTACATGGATTTCCCAAGTCAGCAACGCTCATGTGTTGTTTCTTGTTTGACTAATCATGTGCTTATTTAAGTTGTAGCATGGCCAACATACACCAGAACATCAGGCCATGATTCAGCTCATTTGGTGGAGTTGTATCCCTCCTGCCCTGATGGTGCTCTGACAGATGGTGCTCAAAAAAGATTCCATGATCCCATTAGGAAGCCATTACAAACCACTCTCCCTCCAGTATGTTTTTTTTCTTTCTTGTATATAAAAGCCTCTCTTCAGCTTTGATGACAAAGGGAGACAGAGGCTGAGCTGCTGTCGACTAACTAGGTTAAATATAATTCTGTTGTTGCCGACAGGAAACGATGAGTCTGATATCAACAGCAAGTTTCAAAGTGAAGAAAGTAAAAGACCCTGAAAAGCAGTGTGTGTTCAGCACAGTGAGTCACGTTATCTGACTTTTGTTCTTGGTGTTAATACTACACACACCACCTCAGTCAACAATGGGTTTTGTGTTTGTGTGTGTGTGTGTGTGTTGAAGATGGTGGGAGCTGTTGTGTTTTCTCTCTCTAATGTTGTAAAGTCTGACCTAACTGTAAGGAGTCTTGAGATGTGACGTATGTTATGAACTGAATTATAAAAAGGTAATTATTTTTGGGTCTCCCAGCATGTGGCCTTTTCCTGTAAGATTAAATCTGTGTTAAAATATTACAGGTGGTATTTATCCAGTTTCTGTCAAGCTGTCATGTGAATTTTATTTGACAACAGGCACAGAAAACACCTGTATCTGCACCAGTGCGCACAGACAGCAGCAACAACACTGAAAGTGAGAGGAGACTTGTAGAGACTATGGTTTCTTTAGTTCGTGAAGTGGAGTGTTGCACAGTCTGTATTTCAGTTTCACCTCAGAAACACCCTCTATCCAACACACAACTGGCCCACACATCAACACAGGAGTTTCTGCATGAGAGTATGAAAGTATGACAAACTTTTTTTTTCCCCCAAACACTCTCACCTCGTAGTGATTGAGTGTGTTGAGCATCGTCACCTCCCCGACAACCTCCGAGCTTCTGTCCACTTCCTCAAGAGGAACAAAGGATCCAATCTTCTCAAACTCTGGTGGGACAAAGAGGAAAAGTTACAGTTAAACAGTTTGAAATTACTTTATGGAAGGTTATAGATGATTTTGTGGCAACTTAAAAATCAAATGTTTATTTCACTTTAATGCGCAGTCATAAACAATATCAAGTTAAATGAGCAAAAATGTGCAATAATACCCCTTAAATCACCTGTTGTGCTTTAAGAATGTGGCTGCTATTGTTGTTCTTACTGTCAACAACTGTCCAGCTTCACCATGTCTGTGACACTCCAGACTCCTGAGTCTTTTACAATTTATCACAATATACACTTTCATTTAAAGAAAAAGCTAAATCATTCCTTGAATTGTACATTTGGTGGGGACTATTATTGGACTATTATTTAATGGTCCACCAAGACGGTGTATGTGAGACTGACTTACACATTAATGTTCAAGGTATGTAAGGAACTGATGTGTTTTGAATGGTTTTGTACAACAGTGGCAGATAGAAATAAGACACATCAGCCTTTGGCTACAAATACAAAACCTGTTGATAAAACCACTACATTGTTGGTTTCAGTGTTTGATTAGTTGACAATAAGAAAAATATAGAATCTCAGACTCATCCTCTGAAACACAGCGAACAGCATTTAAACCATACAACTTAGTTAGACAGTAAAGCAGTGGTGTGTTACTGACCGATACAAACGTCCCTGAGGGCGACGTTGTAGGGGAAACCAAACTTGGCCTTGAAGGTGGACAGGATTTTCTCTTTGACCTGCTCTACTGTGTCACAGCTCAGGGCGTTGACCTCCAGAGGCTCACTGACCTCCCCGTCACTGCCCACAGCAAACAGCACCTTCAGCTTCTGCACACAACAGACACAAACATGGACACAACTCACATGACACTGTATAAATCTCAGTCTCGTGTTTTTTCTAACCTCAGGCAGAATTAAAAACAGATTACTACATTTCACATTCATTCAGTCAGATACACACAGTCCACGTCTCAGTGGTGACTAAAACCTGAATTCACTTGCTCATGCACACAGCAGCTTGTACAGTATACTTGCTTGCGTACTTGTCAAAAACGACTAAAATAACCACTAATGCTAATCTCAGTTTCACTATTGTGTGAACAAACCGGATCTAAACCTCATTGAAACATTAGCCGTTTCAAAATGTACAGTTTACAGTGTTCGACCGACTAGCTCGTAGCTCTTCTGTCGTTGCGTCGGGTGTGTTTTGTATGCTGCAGCCTGGAGCCCACACACAGTTAACTATATTATACGCACATGGGTTAATGATGAAAGGTGAGCATTAGCCATCTGATGGTTACGGGCGTGTTCTTATTCATAATAACACGTTATAAGAACATTGGCTGTGTCATGTTCATTGTTGGAAAGTATAAAGCAGCTGCAGGTTAATAAAAGGTGTTCAGAGCTGTGTCACATGACAGGAAGTATCATCAGAGACTGATGATCTTATTCCTCTCTGTAGTTTTGTGGCTAATGGTTGCACCTAATGCCAATGTACAGTAAATGTAAAGTGGTTTACTTTACATGGTCACAGGAAAAACACTTTGTTTTAAGGTGGATTTTCTGTTATCGTACAGAGTTTAACATTACAGCACGCAGCGGCACCATGTGTCACTCCAGCAGCAGGGAGAGTGAAATGTAAAAGAAAGAACACAGTACTAAAGATGAAACACAGGGAAGTGTTGTATTAGAAAAGCGTTGTGGCAGTGATCCAACACATTATTTTTTGTTGAAGGTTTATGTGCAGGATGTTCATGTCTCTTACTTACTGCCCATCATGTATGTTTCATGTGCTTCAGTCTAAATAACATTCAGCATGTACCACATGAAAAGATATGTACCATGAGCGTGTACATGTGTAAGCGAGCTGTCAAACATTAGATTTAAAATACTGTGTGACTGGGAGGAGCAGTGATGAATCCACAGAGACTGACTCTACAGCTCTCTCACTCTCAGTGCTCTCAGCTGTAGACACTGAAATAGCTCTGATGAACTCACGGTGCCTCTACCTGCCCTGCACCAAACAGCAGACAAAGTTACAACCGTTTAGCAGCTAAAGAGGCCGCTTCATAGGAGACTGATATCACAGGTTCATCGTGGTCAGTCCTGCAGGACTACAAAGACTTATTACAAAATAAAGTTCTGTTTCAGTTTAATCTCTCGGTGTATGTCACGTCATGCTTGGCCACTAGCTCATATTTTCCTGCTCTCTCAGTTCTAATGGCATCTACATGCTTTATAATGAAATAATGTGCCGATCCTTTACAGAGACATTTGTTGATCAAAGCCGGGCAGCGTATATTGAACACTGTCACTGTGTTGTTCTAAATGGGATATAAAGTTAGTATGTATCTGCAAATGAACCCATAACTGCCAAACTACTGTATGTACATGTCAACCCGCATCTAATACTGAACATCGATTTTCTCTCATTTGTTGTATTTAATTAATTGGTTCCCAATATTTACTGCACAAAAATTAAATGTATTTTTTCAGTTCCTCTGATCTTTGCTTTTTGCTAGTGAATAACTGGATAATATTACTTCTTCAGGACTCTTAAAAATTACTTAAAGTACTTTAACTTTTTGGTTATGATCCATAAACCTTTACGATGTAGAAAGTAGAGATTTTTTCATTTTAAGGAGTCACACAAGCCCACAACTCTAGGAACCACTGATTTAATGGATGTTGATGTCTGATGTCATTTAAATCCTTCTTTCAGCTGAACATGTGAATTGTTGTTTATTTTTCACAACTATATATTTTTTTTACTTACTTTCTATGCTAATACAGTATTAACCAACATTATAATTCAACTTGCATTAAACACACACACGTCTGCATATAGTGTCATGAGGTTTTCTATCTCTGCTCTGATCAGTTGGGTGTGTTCAAAGAAACCTGGTTCATACAAAATGTGGGTTTTCTGATATGTATCATCTGGGCGATGCAGAGATGTTCCACTTTCTTGAATTAGATGCTTTTGCCAGGACTGTGAGTCTGTATATAATGCCTCTCTCTCTGGGGATCTGTAACATTTCATTATTTGAATTTGACAAAATCTTTTTCCTGACAACGAGCTGCAGTGGTTGAGAAGTCAGTAAAAACCTTCGACAGTATCAGTGTCTTCACACAATCAGAGTAGGTTATTGACCAACCCAACCCTTTCTCAATATTTTGTTTCCTGTCACCAAACTGAACACATCCCTCACTGACATAACCAAACAACATCCACTCTCATTTTCAATCTGAATGTTTGACAGCAGGCAGATACTTCCTGCTGTAGGATGAGAAGATTTTCAGTTTCACTTGTGTTACCAAGTTACTTCAAACTACGCCCCAAACAGAAGCCAAACAAGGTTGTTTTTAACTCTGCCTGATACGTCTAAACATGAATAAATTGAATTTCTCTCAACAAATTCACTGTCTATTAAGCAATAGGTTGAGTAATCTGATATACAAGTACAAAAGTTTTAGGCACTTTAGATGTTTAAATTCTTATCGATCCTGCAGTGCTATTATGAACGGTGTCAAATTCATGCTTCAGCAGGACAGTCAGTCCACATGTAGAACCAGAGTCAGAAGTATCCTCAGAGACAATAACCAGGAGTCCTGCAACAGATGGACTGGCCCCAACAGAGCCCTGATGTCAGCATCATGGAGTCAGCCTGGGATCGGACTGACTCCACAGCCTAAATCCACAGAAGAACCGTGGCAGGTTCTCCAGAATGCAGGAACAACCTACCTGCCAAGAACCTGAAGAACTGTGAGCAGGTGTACCGAGGAGAACCGGTGCTGCTTTAAATGCACTGTACTGTGCATTTCTGGATACTTCAGGGACTATTTCAAAACTTCTTAGCATAACGATAATGAGGTAAATAAACCCCTGTCAAGCTCTTTACAGTTATACTGTGTGTTCAGATCTCAAGATAAACAGAGGAGGAAGTGATTCAGTGGCTGTTTCTGTGCACCGACAAGCTGTCTCCATACAGTCAATGTGAGAAACAGCCAGACCTGAAAGTTATTACACTAAAACTCGGATGTCCATGTTGGGTGTGAAAAACCTGACCCACAATTTGGAGATTTAACATCACAGCATCCTTTTTGATAGAGCTGAAATACAGGATTAAGTAAGAGCCGTTTTGTAGAGAACCATCAGACCAAAAACAGAACTAAGAAAATGGGAAGTGGTAATGATCACTTGCATGTTCAAATACAGCTGACTAAACTTGGGATGAACTGACGTGGAAAAAAAATATGTAAATGTTCCACTAATAGTTTAGTGGTTATTTCATGTACCTGAAGTAAACAAACCACCACACAGGAAAGGAGCTCTTTTTTGGACTCCACTAATCCGCTCAAGTGTACAAGTGCCCTGAGATGTAAAATGTGTATGTGTGTGTGTGTGTGTGTGTGTGTGTGTGTGTGTGTGTGTGTGTACCAGGCAGCTGAAGTCCGGAGCCTGCCACAGCAGCCAGTCCTCACTGAGTGTGTACAGAGCTTTCTCTGTCACACAGTCCACAGGTCCTTTGGCGATCTGCTGCGTGAGAGCGCTCACCATCAGGAACAGGTGCTGGCCAACACTTTCCTGTACAGAATCAGAAACGGGAACTCAGTGAGTCAGTACTGTAAACCACCAGAATATGTAGAATATGATACCGACAATCACATTTATGAAGAAGACCACATGTGTGGTGTAATGTAACAGAGCTGATTAAAAATCTGAACTGTGGACATGACATGAATAACTCCTCTGACTGCATGATAGCTATACAGAGCTACTGTCAGTCACCATGGAAACAAGCCTGTTGACAGAGGAGGTTTAGAGGATAGGATGTAGTTTATCAAATAGCTGAATCGACACCTACAGCAAATACCCTGCTGGAGCCTCCCAGAAACACCTTGACAAGATATGAATAACCAAAGGTAAATCATAAAGCAATATAACTTACAACACAGACCAACATCAACACAGACAAACCAGTGCCTTACTTATCATGTCAAAGACAGCTTGAGGGAGAGCTTTCACTAAATACTTTGTATTATATATTGAAGTATTGCACAAATTGTAAAACCATTTGCTTTGAACACTGGATTGTGATGCATGGTGTTATTATCACCAAGCGCCACAGAACAAGTTCCTGTTTACTTCACACATGTTGACAATATTTTAACTAATCTGAAGGTGTGTCACAAGTTATGACAAGACAGTGGCTCTGTGAGGTCAAACTAAAGAATAGCATCGGCATGCTATCGTACTCACAGTAATGCTAACATACTGGTGTTTAGCACACATTAGTTTTATCATGTTCACCATCTTAGTTTGGAGTGAGAGTATCTTATCTAAAGCTAACCACTAAATTTTAAAAAAATCATGATGGTGCTGAAAGAAAAGTCAAATAATGAGTCATTAGTCTGAAAGTTAGATATGTCATCTTGGAACCATGAATGTCAAACACCAATTGTGCACCTATCCATTTAGCAGATGTTGAGCTATTTAACTGGATAAGTCAAAACTTTGACCTGCTGGTGGCACTGGATGAAAAGTAACCAAAGTCGATAGAATTTATCGTCTGGGGACCATGAATGCTTTTTTCTTTAACAAAATTTAAAGGCTGTCCAACCAATAGTTGTTGCAATATTTCAGTCCTGACAAAGTGGTAGACCGACCAACAGACAACCATACAGCCAGTGTATCAGCCTGGTTTAAAGTAGTCATAAAGTGACAGTAAAGCAAAAGCACAAAGACAAGGAACAGAAGAGCAACGGACCCGGAGGAAGCCATAAAGGCATATGGACATCCAGTTGGTCAACAGTTTCTCCACTGTGGACTCAGTGCGTCGTAGAAACAGTTTGGGCTGAGCGTTGCTTTTTTGCTGCATCAGATCCTTCAGCAGAACCTCCATCACCTCTGTCAGGTAGAACAGGTTGCCGTGGAGTGCTACTGTTAGTAGAGATGCCAATGCACACCTGAAACAGAATAGAGTAAAATGAGAGAGGAGATAAGAACAGGATACAGCACGTGAGGAAGATGAGAAAACAATCCTTAGGAGATGATAAGAAGATAATAAAAGCAGACAAGAATGGATGAGGAGGAGAACAGAACTGACATGAGTTAACAAGAGGATGAGCAAATGGACTGCACTTATATAAAGCTTTTCTAGTTTCATCTCTCTCACACATATACACACACACACACACACACACACACACACGGTGCAATTTGGGGTTCAGTATCTTGCCTAAACACACTTAACATGTGGGCCAAAAGAACTAGGGATCGAACCACCCACCTTCGACCCGCTCTACCTCCTGAGCCACAGTTGCCCTAACAGCCTTAGACTTATAACAAGATTAGGTCAGAACTAGTATACGGCCGGAGGACTGTGTTTGGTCAATGTGAGCACAGAGAGGTGTGTCTGTGGAGGGAAAGCCTAAAATACTGGCAACTCTCTACAGAAAGTAGCCATGGTTTGTCCAAGGAGCTTTAGATTTATGTGCTAGCTGTTGCAGTGCAGCCAAAAAGGTGAGGGAGGATACAAGTGAAGGGAAATAAAGTGAAAAATTAAATGGACATTAATAGGTAAGAAAAAAGAAAGAGAAAAGTGGAACAGGAAACTGAAACCGCAGTATTAAAATAGTATAGAATAGAGCAGTGTACAAATATGGAAGAGAAGAGAAGCTGAACAACAGAGGAAAATAAAAACAGAACAAGTCAGAAAGGGACAGCAAGAGCAAGCACAAAATGGAAGAGATCAAAATTACAGCTGCATTGTTACCAACATACATCTTTAGTATCATGATATGTGAGTCACATAAACTGGCTTTAAGTAAAACATGAAAAACTGACTTGTCTTTGATGGTGAAGTTCTTCTGCTCCTCCAGAGCGTGAACCATAGATGTGAGGAAGAGCTGATCCTGGATCAGCCTGGACAAGCCCTGGCAACACTCATCAAGCTGAACCTTCACTGCGTCCTGATACCAGGTCAGATACAACGATGCAAACATCACTGACAGTTACAAAACTGCACATTATGACATGTACATGTAGTTGGTGTCAAACCTTACCTGATCAATGTCTCTGATACACGACGTCATCAAACATTCACTCTGGGAAACAGTAACAAAATGGTAGCTCTGTTAATTTGGTGATGATAATGTATTCGATATTTTCAGCATCAGTGTATCTGACATGATCATTTGCTTTCTTCACATCTCAGCTGTACCTCAGGAAAAAAGATTCTGGAGGCAAAGTGCTTGTAGTCCAGGAAAGGAATCGCTCCAACGTTTTCCATCAGCTCAGCTTTCTCTGTCTGCAGATCCACAAAACCTGCAGCAGACAGTTAAATGAGGCTGCTTTTATGAAACTCTAGACCTGAGTGACACAACATCTCGTTTGGCATGACTGGAGAAAACACTTGAAACACCCATGTTTTCTCTGGGAAACACAACAAAGGACAAAGCAGATAATATACATATCTCTCTGTAGAGTCAGATAAAAAAAGCAACGTTGTGAAGCAAGCATCAGTTTTAACAAGTAAAAAGTGAAACTGTAGTGTAAATGGGTGTAGTTCTGATCTACCTCTGCAGGCTTACTACAGATGAGGCAATGCGTTCATGTATGTGTACATTAATGCATGGCCTCATTTGATACTAGAGTCTGTTCCTTTTTCTGATGTCAAACTTGTCACACAGTTGGTGTTAAGACATTTGTTCTGTATGTGTACATAAAAAATCTATTTTTTTTTTAACACCAACTGTGTGACAAGTTTGACATCAGAAAAAGGAACAAGCTCAAGTATCTCACACCATAAATGTGAAGTGCATGTGTTCGTGTGTGTTGAGGCTCTGTGAACTGAGGAAAGTAAAGTGAAGTGGTTCAACATAGGGATGAGTGTGAGATAAGGCTGAGCTGCTTAGCGAATTTGATCAGATACATTCTTCTCATTTTGTAAAGTTGTTTGTAAAGCATGTTACAGAGAAACTGTTGCTGGGAAACATTTTAATGTTTAACAGATTATAGTAGACAGTTTTCAGTGTTGGAAGCCTTTGTAAATACAGTGCTAAAATAAGTACTGGGAACCATGGAAAGCTCTGTTTCTTCTCAGTACCAGACTGCGTTTGTCCACAAAGACAATGCATTCATTTTTGAACAATTTTAAATGATTCAATTTTATTTGTATAGCGCCAAATCATAACATACATTATCTCAAGGCAATTTACAGAGTAAGGTGAAGACCTTATAATATTAAAGAGAGAAACCTAACAGTTCCCACAATGAGCAGCACTTGGTGACACTGGAGAAGAAAAAATCCCTTATAATGTGTGAGAAAAAAGTCTCATTACAGAGAATGCAACATGGCTCTTTGATCCAGTACCAAGCTAGTTTCATTACGCTAACGTGCCCACAATGACAATGCCAACATGTTGATTTTTAGCAGGTATAATGTTTCATGTTATATATCCACCATCTTAATTTAGCATGCTAACACTTGCTAATTAGCACTAAATATAAAATAGAGTTGAGGCTGTTGGGAATGTCATTAGTTTTAGAGGTATTTGGTCAAAACCAACACTGGATTAATTAAACATTTTGAACTGATGATAACACTGGATGAAAAGTTAAAAGATTGCAAAAATTATTTCATGTCATCATTAGGGAAACATGAATTTGAATTAAATACCAAAAATGTTAACCTCTTGGGGGCACCAGTGGGAAAGTCAGTGGATCACCACAATCAGTAGGATTAATCCTCTGGGGATCATGAATGTCTGTAAAATATTTCCATGGTAATCCATCCGACAGATATTTCAGTCTGGTCCAAAGTAATGGGCCCTCTGACATTACCATCCATGGAACCACGCTGCTAGCATAGCTAAAAACAACTCCAGCTCTGTGTTGACTACTATTTAGCATGAGCATGACCTTGACAAGGGATTTGAAATTTTAGTATCCATACAATACCTGAGTTTAGGTTCAGATACCAAAACACTCAATATCTTAGTTATTAACATGACTGGATAAAGAGGTAAGATTTTATTAACATGAGTTTAATACAATTTTTTTTTTTCTTTCACTTGACAAAAGCAGTTCTTAGAGCTAAAGCCAAAAGTCATTGAATGTTGTCCAAACACTAGCAGACACACAAAAACTTTGCCCAAATAGAGCACTACGGCTCTGTGGTGGCCTAATACGGCTACATGCACAACCTCCAACTCAACCCTCATGCCAATTTATGAATGAATGAATAAATTAATTTAATGGTTTATTTAACAAGGACAGTGCACATTAATAAACACTGCTGTAAATGCAACAGTTAGCTAAAAGTTTTCATCTATAATTCCTGGGCAGATGTTTCAAAATCCTTGTCAAGTTCCCGTGCAGAGGCCCATGTTGTTTCTGCTTGAGGCAGCCATATTTTGCCAAAATGTAAGCATTTAGGACATACTGAAGACGTACAGCAGAGGAGACTGTGCTGCAGGATGGAAGTTTCTATTGAAGTTTTGATACTTATCCAAAATTGATTCTGTTTAAACTGGTCACTATTGGGATTCATTGTCCACAAGTCCACAAGTGCTCAATACTTAAAATGTGAGCTTTTATCTGTGCCTTATTGTTATAGCACAGATACATTGTGAGAATTTGTGACTGACCTTGTCTGATATCATTCCTGATGTCGAGCTCCAGGACCTCCAAACGTCTGTTCATCTTAGCAGTGAGCTTCTTCTGTTGGCTTCGATAAACAATAACCACCGCTGAAAGACGAAACCAAGCAGACAAACATACAAAATGACCGAACATTCTACATGAAGCGTACATTTAAACAGATATTGGATTGTTACAGTGGCTGTTTTTAAAAGTGTCTAAAACACGTTTTTTCTGGTGGCCCTTTGCTCTGCCACTCTGCCGTTATCTCCGGTCAGTTCCTAACTGGGAACGCGCCAATTAGAAACTACTGCAGGTAATGTACCGACTATATACAACGACCTCACAGAACCCCAAGTCAAAAAAACGAACTATACCTTTAATGGCAGCTAGAGCTGCAGCTCAGTCCTCAGTTCTTATTTTGCTGGACCTAGTGCTTTCTTGGTTTGAATCCTATTTCACTGGACAACTAAACCTCTAAGACTGAACTCTTAGTCATCCCAGCCAATCAATCTTTCCATCACGATATATCAATATCAAAATCACATCTTCATCTCTCACCCCAACTGGAATGCCCTTCTAGCGGGCGTCCCCTCATGCATGGTGAAACCCTTACTGATGGACCAGAATGCAGCAGTCCGTCTGGTCTTTGATCAGCCCAAAAGGGCACGTCACTCTGCTGCTCATTGACCTACACTGGCTAACCATGACCGCCTGAATCTAATTCAAGTCACTAATGCTGCCCTCGGCGTCTGCACTCATCTACTTGAACTAAATCATTCAGCCTTGTGCTCCTTCTCGTCCACTGTGTCCCAACAAGCAATGTCACCTGGCATCACCATCCTCACACAACAATCTCAGTCCAGATTGTTCTGGTCTGTGGTTCTCTGATGGTGGAACAAGCAGGAGCGTCCCTCTCTATCTCATCTCAGACTCATCTCTTCAGAGAGCACCTCCTCTCCTAACACCTCGAACATGCCTAACTAGCTCTTACTATAAACTTTCACTGCACTTCTTTACCTGATCTCTTTGCACTTATTGAACAGATGTAATACTTAGCACTTAGACCAAGGTGCACAGCTTTATTGATGTCCCTCACTTGTGAGTCGCTTGGATAAAAGCAACTGCCAAATGAGTAAATGTAATGAAAAGAGAAAATGGTTTCCCTGTTAAGGTTTGTCCTGTATAACTCTTTGAGGCTGGTAGTGGAACAAAATGGGCCAAATCACTCATTGTGACTTTGTGTACTCACCGACGATAATGCAGGGTATCAGCAGAAGGACAAGCACCGTCAAAATGAACAGTGATGAAGAGTTAAGGTTCAGTGTTATTGTCCTATCTCCATACTCTATCTGTAAAAAAAAAAAATAAAAAAAATAAAAAAAAATAATCACATTACATTTGAAAGGAATTGTACAGAGCACAAATACATATTTACTACTTTGAAAAAAAGTTACATTCAATAACTATTGTACAGAAACCAATATACTCTATGATCAGCCTCGTTTTATTTTGGATGAAAGATTTACCTTTAACTGCTGAAATTTAGTGAGGGTCGTGCTCTTTATGTCACAGGTGAAAAGGTCAGACTTATTTTTGGTTTCTTTGATCACCATGATGCAGGGATGTTCTTTTCCTTCATGAATGCCGAACACTGACAGCTCAGCTCTTGTCATGTCCAGTTTGTCTGCCTTTTTCTGAAACAAAAAGAGATACAAATGCTGACCTTCAATGTATTCATGTCTTTATGTGTATGCATTTGTGACAACAATATTCATTACCTCTATGATGATGCGGATATCGTCCCCTCTCTTTGTGGATGTGAAGCTGGTAAACTCAGGGTTTGGATAGTAGGTGATGCTTGTGGAGCAGGGCACGGTTTCGTTGGCTACTTTCAGAGACAAAGTGCTGGTAAAAGTCGCCTGATTGTTTCCTGCCGCAGGTGTGTAATAGGTGAGATTCTGCAGCGAATTGAAGGAATATTCTGTGTTATATAGAATATGATGTGATCTACAGTGAAGTCAGAATTTTACATATACTTAGGTTGAAGTAATTTCTTAACCACTCCACAGATTTCATGTTCTCAAACTATAGTTTTAGCAACTTGGTAAGGTGAAGTACTTTTTACAGCAATTGTTTAGTTTGTTTCACTTTTAATTCACTATATCACAATTCCAGTCAGTCAGAAGTTTCTATACACTAAATTGTATAGTGTAAAAGTGCCTTGAAACTGATCGGAAAATTCCAGCAAATGATGTCATGGGTTTAGAAGCTTCTGATAGGCTAATTGGAATCATCTGTGTTAATTGGAGGTGTGGAAGTATTTTAAGGCCTGACTTCTAACTCTTTGATTGACATCATTGGAAAATCAAAAGAAATCAGCTCAAGACTTGTGGGCCTCCACAAGTCTGGTACATCCTAGGGAGCAATTTCCTGATACCGGAAGGTTCTATGTTCATCTATACAAAGCAACCGTACACTATAACTAACTAACTATAAACACCATGGGACCATGCAGGTGTCATACCACTCAGGAAGGAGATGTGTTCTGTCTCCTCGAAATGAACTTACTTTGGTGTGAAAAGTGCAAATGAATCCCAGAACAAACAGCATTTACGCTGTTAAGAGAGTCTTAACAACATAACCTGAAAAGCTGCTCAGCAAGGAAGAAGTCCCTCCTCCAAAACTGCCATAAAAAAAAAAAACAAAACAAAACAAAACAACAGACTACAGATTGCAACTGCACATGGGAACAAAGATCTTACTTTATGGAGAAATGTCCTGTGGACTGATGAAACTAAAATTGAACTGTCTGTGCATAATGACCATCGTATGTTTGGAGAATAAAAGGATGAGGCTTGCAAGAATGCCATCCCAATTGTGAAGCAGCATCATGTTGTGTGGGGATTTGCTGCACAAGGGACTGGAGCACTTCAGGAAATAGATGGCATCATGAGGAAGGAAAATTACGCGGATATACTGAAGAGACATCTCAAGACATCTGCCAGGAAGTTAAAGCTCAGTTGCAAATGGGTCTTCCAAATGTACAATGAACCCAAACACACTTCCAAAGTTGTGGCAAAATAGCTTGAGAACAACGAAGTCAATGTATTGGGAGTGGCCATCACAAAGCCCTAATGTCAATCCAACTGAAAATTTGTGTACAGAATTGAAAAAGAGGTGTAACAAGCAAGGAGGCCTACAACCCTGTCTCACTTCCACCAGCTCTGTCAGGACCTAATTGTGAGAAGCTTGTGAAGGGCATTTGACCGAAATTAAACAATTTAAAAAGGCAATTCTACCAAATACTAGCAAAGTGTATGTAAACATCTGACCCACTGGGAATGTGATGAAAGGAACAAAAGCTGAAATGAATCATTCTCTCTACTATTATTCTAAAATTACACATTTAAGTGATCCTAAGATCCTAAGACATGTTGTTTATTAGGATTAAATCAGTAATCGTGCAAACCTCGGTCTGAATGTATTTGTCTGAAGTGTATGTAAACATCTGACTTCAACTGTATGTATTGCATAGAAGGACATGGTAATGTAATGTAACACGACACAAACATGATTTGACATCTCTTTGACAACAACGTAAAATACTAGAAAATACTAATAGTGGAAAATTACACAGGATGATGTGACAGGACATGTTGTGATATAATGTGACAGTAAAGTGTAATGCAGAATGATATGACATGACATAATTAATGATAGATAACAACGCAATGTAACATTGTGCTCGTCTCCAGACCCACGTGATAGCTGCTGTTTCCAGGAAGTTTGACCTCCTGCGGGGCGTGGCTGTGTGTGATCCCTTCCACAAAGTCCAGGCGAGAGCCGGTGAGTGTGATCTTCCTCTTTCCACTACAGGACACAGAGGAGCAGCCAATTACAATTTAATACACAAGCTCTGTTGTTCTTACATTTTGTTGTGAGTCATTGGGAGGATTTGTGTTTTAAAACCCAACAGTATCTTAACTGTCATGTCTTTTAAAACTGTGTTACTTTTTGAGATGCAAACCCAAAGGCAGAAGTGTCAGTTTCAGTTGCTTCAACCATAATGGGAAGTGGTGAAAGATACTGCTTTTGGGAAGTTGCTGTCATTCCCCATCAGATCACCCTCAACCTGTAACAGTTTGTTAGTTACTGACATTGTTACGGAGAATAAGTCTCTGGAGCTTTTGTGATACCAAAGTATAAAATTAAATTGTCACACCAGTTCTGTCTCAATATTGACCAAGTGGTGGTTCACTGATGGCAGAACGCTATGTGTGTCACTTTAAATTTGTTCTTTCAATGACTTGCTGAAAGCTCTAAGCCAGCTCTAATGGAGCTCAGCACTGTTTTGTTAACAGTTTTAATACCTGTTCCCTCAAAACTAAAGCACTAAACCTGCTAAACGAAAGAAGTCACTACTTAAAGAGAAGCTCTTCTTATATATGTCTATGTCTATATCAGCAGTATGTCATGTTCCTTAAATGAGTTCTTTTGATTTGATTGTGTAACCCTGTATCTGCTAGAAACAACATATCTGAATCTGAGATTATTATCAGTTATAATAATAACAACAACAATAATTATTATTATCATTATTATTAAATGGTTTTATTGGCTTTTGAGACATTCAATCTTTATGTTTTATCAGGTATGTAAAAGTACCAACAAATCCAAACATACCTGACCCAAGTGCTACTTGGTACAATGTTAGTGCAGGATGGTGATGACTGGTAGGTGATTTTAGTATTGCCATGGCAACTACCGTCCGGGAGGAGAGCACATACTTTGACCACGCCTTTTGATTCTGTGCTGGGAATGTGGAACGTCAGACTCACACCTGTGTTGTTCCACACAGGAGATCTGAGCAGAGCACACAGGAAGACAGAGAGAGAGGGAGCAGTTCATCTCACTGAGTTCATGACTCTTACACAGGTAACTTGATAAATCCACCTTGTTTAAACTCACCAAGATGGTGTTTGATATGCTTAACACATGTGAGTGATAATATACTGCTATTACAAAACATCTAAACCCTAAAGAGATCAAATGGAGAATGATTTTAACATAGAAAACAGCAAAATGTTGGTGCAAGCCTATGCAGTCACATCAATCAACAATTATTGAAAATAATGATCTGACAATTCCCTGAAGCAGAAGCACACTCAGCTTTAATTTCAAGTTTACATCAGATACCAAAAAGTCTGAGCAATGATGCTGAGAAGCAAAAGGGGGTGAAGATTTTACTTTAGAGGGAAACACCACATATTTCAATTATTCCTAAAGCTGACAAATCAGCAGCTGTTCCTTTGACAATCAATGTTTCTGACTATCTGGAGCCTTATGATGATGCTGCAACACCAAACGTTGTCATCATCTAGCATTGGTAGCATGTGTGAACCAAACTTAAGCCTCAGAACCATATTTTACATCAGAAATCCAGTTTTTGGCTTCAGGAAAGAGAAATATTCATATGTATTGACTGGACGATCACTGGTAACTAATGTCAGTTCTGTCAACTAGTAGAATGTAAAAACTCATAATGTGGGTGGTATTTCCCTATAATAACTGCTATATTTAAAATGTTGTAAGCATAATCTTAGTGACCCATAAACTGACTCACTCTCGTGGAGAGCAGTCGTCAGTCTGGATCCTCACTCTGGTCACATCATTGAGGTTATGACCGCTCAACACTGCATGGTTTCTGCCGTAGAAAGACACGACACTGGGAGTGATGGAGGAGATCTCTGGCCTCTGACAGTAAAACACACAGAAAAACAATCATTTTAACGTGTCGCCTTCTACTGATGTTTTAACCTCGACTGAATGTGAAGAAGGTGAACTTCAGATGAAGAATGTGTGTGAGAGCTGAGGTTCAGACTCACAGAAAAGTTCATCCCTGACCCCATCTTTTGGCAAACACTTTCCTGCAGGAGGAAGTGGGGGAAGAAATTCAGCAGGATTACATGACACTCACTGTGAAGGTATTATTAGAGTCGATTCAGGACATTCAGCTAAAGTCAAAACCTGGAGAACAGTAGAAAACAGCCAGGCTGAGGGATATGCCAACACCTATAATGCTGCTTTATTTACATGGTGTACGTATGTGCAGAAATAGAAAATGAGACATTTTGGTTTAACCTGCATTGGACTCAGTGAAACACAGTCAGACTGTCGTCACAGTGAAGCTGCTGTCTTTGCAAAGTGTCTAAACTCTGAACCACTCTGAGCAGGCAGCTGGGTGGTGACTCAGTTGGTGACTAGTTTGTTAACGTTAGAAAACAAGACAATATGTAAATAAGATCGATGTGGAAGGCATTCCGTTTCATCTCCTTTCCCATTTGTTCACGTATGTTAGATAAATACATAAAAATATGCATAATTACATTCCTCACTCCCTGATTTGCCCAGGAACAGTGGTTTTTGCTCCAGCCACATCCAGCCCTGATACACTGCTGACACCTGAGGAGGAAACAAATCTTATAACATTTTGGTGTAAAGACCAGCGTCAGTATAACACTAGAAATATGGATCACAACGACTTGATAGATCACAAAGATCACAACATAATAATATATTATTCCTGGTTGTGAGCAGAAAGGGTTAAAGTCTTTTTCTTTATATAACTGGGACCTGATGCTTTTGACTCATTATGTGTTTCAGCTTTTTCAGCTTTATCTTCTTTTAATTATATTAGACATTATTAGTTCACAGTAGGTGTCTTTGTGTATTGACAGTGGTAGTGGACTTACAAGACAGAAGTTGGCGGTCCTCTGATCTCAGAGCAGTTGGTTAGCGTCAGTGGTTCCAATAAGGTCAATGTGCCAAGTCTAATTCTTACACCGACTGCCAGGCCTGAAATGCAAATAACACATTGAACATTACAGTTTTCAGTGATTCATGTTTACATGTAATATAACTAGAGGCATCACAGGTTTGTCAGCTGATAAACAACTGTATATAAGAGTAAAGTTACTGATGGCAGCTTTCTCAAGCTTTCAGTTTTACTTTAAAACCATCATCAGGAGCAGGCAGAGGTGACAAGGAAACAACAGCAAATAATACCAGGTGTGACTGACTGCTCAGGTACAACAGTTAGGCTGATGATAAATAAGCCTGTGTGTTTAATATTAGCAGATCCCCTGATAAACAACTGGTGTTCCCATTGTTAAGTACATAATTCATGAGATTATTACATTTATCAAATGTTACTGACCTTCGGCAGGAAGTATGTTCTCAGAGAGGATGCAGATGCATTGTGGGAACTGTGGAGGAAACTCATTCTTCCTACAAAGCTCTCTGGAACTCACAGGGAACTGACAGGCGAAGTTGGACCGTGCCTTCTCGCCCGCAGTCAGGTGTGTCAGGATGTTAAGTGTGATCTGAAAAAGGTCTCGTTGTGAGTGTTTAAAGGACAAATAACTGACACACAACTGATCAGAGTTAAAACTTGTCCTCTCTACCTGGCCGGTGGAGTCCTTAGCAACATTGTGGGAAACCATTTTCTGCTGGTAATCATCAGGAATGGACACCCAGTCTGAATCTTTGCAGTCATCTTCAAATGTGCAACTAGGAAAAGAAAAATATTTTATAACCAAGTTTAAAGTTGTTTAAAGATGTCTGAAGACGTCAGATGAGATGTTTCACTGACCTCTTAGAGTCACACCAGACACAGTATGGATCCTGTGCAGACCAGCACTCCTGCACATTTTTGTATGTGCTGCACGTTGACACGGGGACACGCTCCATCTAGAAGAAAACACTGACACTTTGCTACACTTTGAAATACAACATACGCACATGTGACATTGTGGTAATAAACAACCACTGTGTTCACCACCATCTTACATGTGATACATATGTAGTACAATCCACCCACCTTGTTCTGAAATGGCACGTACACATGTTTACGATCGACTTGATCCAGTTGTATTTTGGGAAACACTCTGCGGTCATCATTGGCCCTGTAGAGCACCGTGGGACAGACGGTGTGATAGTTCTTATCCACAGCAAGCTGACAACAAGAACGTAGCTTTGGTCATGTTCTGAGAAACTGAGCTGCTGCTGGTAAATATATAAAGGCTGAATTAAAATGAGTGGATTAAAAACTGTTTTTTCTGAAATTGGAAGCAACAGGGGCCACTCTGATCGAAATATAAAAAATGCAAAAAGAGAAAAAATGTAGATGTCAAATTGTTCACTGCTGTGACCAAGGCATTTGTGTTGGCCAGTCAGCAGACTACAGTATAACCAGCTGTAAGACTGTTTCTCAACTGTTGCAAAGAAATTGTAAATGTATAATTCAACACTTTACTAATTATATGCAAAGCTTTGAATAGACCATTAAGTTGCAAAACACATCTATAGAAAAGTTTATGAAACCATTTTCTGTAGCTGGTTTTATGATCTATTCTGAAATTCTATGCTTCACATTTATACAGACAAAAATTTACTTTTTAAACAAGGAGGATGCAGAAAGCTTTATAAATGACTTGTATACATATTCACATAATTTGTAATAGCTGAGGAAGATTTACAAATGATATGTAACATTTACATGTGATGACTGGTTTTCACTTTAGATTAGGGGGATACAGAAAGCTTTGTAAATGATTTAGCAACATGTTCACATGTTATTTATTTACAAGTGATTCATAATATATAAACTTACTACTTATTAATCCTTCTAATGATTTGTTAATGATTGTTTCAAGTTTTAAAATTTTATACATGATTTACAACATATTTGTTACATGTTAACACAGCACCAACATCTACATAATACATCTACAAATGTATATCAATGTTTTGGGAATGATTATTTTATCCTTAACTAAGAGCTTATAAATGACTTATGAATAAACATTGTTATAAAGTCTTACTCCCGACCTTGGTTGTTGTGGTTACAATAATAAACACTCAGACTGTACCAAAAGGACCAGACCTTTGTCGCAAAAAAGGTACTTGGCTAGGTTTAAGAAAAGATTGTGGTTTGGGTTCTTGGGTACTTCCTTAACTTTTGATTATCTTGGTTGTCATGGTAACAATAACTCAGTCTCCTCCTTCTAACGCAAACTTTGTAGTTCTTAATGTCACCTAACAACAAAACGTAACAATAGTTCATAATAACCTGCTATGGACTTGTTTTTTTTTTTTTTTTTGTTTGTTTTTTTTAAAAGAAGGACAGATCTACGCACATCTACAAGTAATGGAAAAAGTTTTGCTGCAGCAGTCAATGGCTGTGGTGAAATAACGGACTTACAGTGGAATTCTTTTTATGTCTGTGGTTCAGGCTTTTTGTAGGTCAGATCACTTGCTAATGACCACCACTGTTATACTTGCTGAGAAAAACCTCACTGTGTTGTCCTCTAACAGGACTAAGAGCTCACACCATGACAGAAAAAAACATGAAGTGTGTTGAAAACTTGCTGCATATTGGTGTTTCTGTGGAGCGTCAGTCACCATGTCCACATCATGTGACATCCAATGTGTTGCCTCACTTTACCATTACCTAGTACACAGGATATCATGCAAGAGTATTTTGTGCTGCTCAGGGTCACTTTCTCGCTCTTCAGCTGTAGCCTATATGTGTGGTCTGGAAATTTTCAGGTTCATCATGCTTCACCTTCCACCCTAGTGAGTGTCCCTCCTCTGGACATCACCTGACGACTGGACCTCATTCTTAGTCAGTCCTAAGATACAGATGCCATCTCTTAGTCAGTCTACTTTGTCATGCTGCTGTAGAATTGCAGCAATAGCTCTCGTTTATGTTAATTTCTGTTTTCCGTTGAGGGAATTAACTTGGGCATAATTTAAAAAAATGGAAACAAAAAACTTGATATAGACAAATAATGCTAAACAAACAGAATTTGGTATGTCTAATGCTTGACCACAACCAGATAATGGTACAGTATGTTCCAGTGAATTATAGGTCTACACTTCTACAGCTATAGCATCTTATCTTTAAGAAATAAAAGGTAATGGGTGGTCAGCCCTTTTTTTCGGTAGTATTTCTCTATACACTGTCAGTTGTCCTCCATTACATGCTACATTTCCCAGGCAATAGAAAAGCCATTCTTCTCTGTTAGGCCTCAGCTGCACAGCAGTCACAAATACACTTCGGAGTTTTATGAACACTTGTGAAGGTAAAGCATGAAAGAGCCTATTGTGTCTTGCAGAAGGTTACTGGAGTGCTCCCAGACTTCTGTTCAAATCGTTAATCATGTGGGTGAGCATGTATAAAGAGTGTCTGCACAATATAAACAGTTTTATCAGGGAAAAGGAAAGAAGGCAGAGGATGATGCAATGGAGAAGATGCAGAGGAAATAAAGATAGTGACCGAAAGTAATGTCAGTCTGCCAGGACCTGCTGTGGATCAAATAAAACTGCAAATAAAATTACATTATTGTACCGATGTAAAGTTGGGAAAAATGGAAGCATTTTCATTTAATACTTGTTGTTATTCAGGAAAGAAATATGGGTTTTTTTGCCATTAAATTTTACTATAATTGTTCCTGTCAATCCCCCTCCTTACTGGTAAGGATAAGCAGTATGGATAATGGATGGATGGATGTTAATGTCAATTAGCTGGTGAAATCAACCTCAGACTTCATCTTCAAAACAACACAATATTGTGACTTTAAGTTCATGTATAGATGCTACCTAATTATCATAACATAATAGATAGTCCTTGGTGAATGCTATCAGTTGTGTTATTTAAGTACTGATTCTAGGTTAATGGTTTGTTTTTCCAATTACAGATTTAACCTCTTATACACACCTTGATGAGCTGCCCATCTCCTGTCCCGATGAAGAAAACCATCCAGGCCCTCTGCCTCACTGCCAGCACAGAGGTCATGTTGTTCTGTCTGAAGAGCACTGCCTCCGGCTTCAGTGTCTTTGGTTGAGAAACACAAACAAGTTCATTATCGGGATCCAACAGGTATCAAAAGCTCTGAGAGGAGAGCTTTGAAGAACTTAAGGTCGCCTACTTACAGTATGGATAATATGCTGATAATGAATTAATGAGTGTGCAGTTACAGTAACTGACAGCTGAATTTAGTCACTTTCTCTTTAGCATCAACTCTATAAGCTGTATAAATTGACCCGTTACCTTGTTAACCGTTTGCTTGGGAGGACAATCACTACAGAAGTCTGGATCTGCATCGGCCTCTCCGCTGAGATCAGGGCTGATGTCAAACACTACCAGCTCGGTGTTCAGCTGTCCTTCACCCACACTGAACACTCCGCTCCAGAGCACCGGCGGACCGCCCGGGATCACCGAGGAGGCCAGGAGTCTGTTACCGTCACCACCACCTTCAGAGACACTGAGAGTCGCGCCCCGCAGCGACTTGACAGTCTCGACCTTGTTGGTTTTGCCCTCAAACCAAATTAGATGGACTTTGTTACTTTTGGAGCCGGAGGGCACGTTGGAGAGCAGATATATGGTTGAACTGATCTGAAATCCGTCCACAAACTCCACATCGCCTTTACTTTCGAAAGAAGGTCGGGATTGCTCATCATTAAAAGAAAATATACCTCCGGACTGCTTCTCATCCGTATTCTGAAGGTTGACAGTTTGGGTATCAGAGGAGCAGCGGCTCGGACCGGAATGTTCTTGATGTTTTTGCTGTATCGCGGTCAGAATGTAAAAGTGGCTCTGGGTTGGACTCTTCTCCACTGTCACCAAGACTGAGACGGACGCGCTGCTGCGCCTCAGTGGTCCCACATAGATGCTCTCCCTGTGCACAAAGTTAGAGATGTTCATCAGGTCCAGAACTTCACAGTAACCACACTCATCGTCGGTCACCCCGCAGCTGATCAGAGTGCCGTTCTCAACAAATGGCAATAACACGTTGACGCTGAAAGTTGCGTTCCACCACGCCATCTCAGAAACACGGTAGAAATGCTCCTCAACCGGCGGGATGGCACCGTCCTTCATGAATCCTCTCTGGGTCAGACTCCGGACCAGAGTCAGGTTGTGGCTCAGCTGATACAGCCTCTCCTCTGTAGCGATGTAAACCGAGTTGGAGGCCACGGCGAAGTGACGGATATCTCCATCAAAAGTGAAGCCTCCATCCTCCCCCCGACACCGACCCGGTTCTCCCCAGAGAATAAACAACAGACCAGGCAGCAGGATCATGTTCTAGCAGCTGTGGCAGCTTTAAGTGGGAAACCCTCATACACTGACGACCTGCATGGCTCTGTACACTCCGCTAGTGCCACTAGTCGTGCGTAAAAGCGCAGCGCGCCTCTGCTGAAAAGAGAAGTGCAGAAAGTAGGAGAGGCCTCCGAAAACGAAAGCCATCAGACATTTAACTGTTTCTCAGAAACAGATTTAGCAGCAGCGCTTTCACTCAGCTCCATTTGCCCCACTCTTATCATGTTTTCAACAAAGTCTGTAGAGTTTAAGTCAAACAGATCGCAGTGATGTACGACACGATGACAGCCTCCAACTGACCACAAAGCATATGATAAATCCACTACACAGTTGGAACATCTTCAGCATCGAAAGCTTTGGTGAAGCGGGCGAGGTCATAAAACGCCCCCGTTCACTAAGACAGCAGTGAGTTCTGATTGGCCTGCCATGTCGCCAATCTGCATATGAGAATGGTCCCTCTCCATCATTCAAATGAATTTATTAAATAAACTCCAGAATATATTAATCAACCGAAATCCCTCGAACATCTCACCAAGCCCCCTCATTTTAAAGACAGAATCCAGACATAGAGATATGTCTGAGCTAAATGTAAATAACTTTAGACTGTTACAGGCATCAGTGATTTATACAAAGGAGAAGTGGAGTAACCGAAATCATCAGGTGACCAGCCTTCAAAACTACATTATACAACTTTCTACATGTTCAAACTACAGAAAAGCAAAGATGTAAAAAAAGTGAGGTCTGGGTGACATCTAGTGTTAGCTTTGGGAAGTTTTCTTCTAGTTGCTTGCACTGTGGATGTCACCGACCAAACAGGTGAATGCAGATAGCCCACATTATTTCCAGAAATCATGTATCGACAGTGATGATCAGACAGGGGCAACACAACAAAGCTGATCAAAGATGCTCAATGACAGAATATCAAAGCATGTCAGTTTGGTATTGTAACAAAAGTCAGTCCATATTTGAAATGATTAAATAGAAATCAAAATATATCCAAACGGACTACTATAGGCTACTATTGTGCCCCATCTGCCGTTTGGAATAGTTCTTTAATACAGAGTAATATCAATTAGACTTAACACAAAAAATGTCCCAAAAAATTAAATCAGACCGAGTAATTTATTCACCAACAATAGCCCTAATATACATGTCGCCTATTTTCTCTCATATCTAAAATATGTGTAGGTGGGATAGGCCATACGGTTTCTAGCTGTTTACAGCTTACTTTTCATTGTAAACCTGACTAACAGGGTGTAGTGGAGGAAAACTGCCCAGGTGAATGTGAAAACAAGGTTCTGAGAAAAGATAAAAGACATAAAAGGGAAATTAATCAAAACGACCTGATCATATAGGGGCGTCCGGTAGACACAACAGGTGCATACCAATATAACCGCAGCGTCCACGGTCTGGTTCCCAGCCACGGGACACGTGTGTTGAAACATTGTTTGAATCCAATGCTGGAGGTGAGCAGCTCGCAGATGAAAAGTCGTTTCATGTTGTACTTCCTCGGTTTGTGTTCGTATGGATAAAGTTTTTTTTTATTATTCGCGTAGGCCTCGGTGTCGTCTCGCTGTAGTTTAACGCTGTTTTCCTTTATAACTGAATCAATTTAACTAATGAGAGACAGGTGTTTGCTAGCGCGAGCTTTTCTTTGATCACATGACAGTTTTTTATTTGTTGACCTGCTCATTATTTCACGTGTTTCCGGTGTTAGTTTTTACTCCTTAGGTTTCCTGTTTACTTATATGTAACGATGATAATTATTGCTATTCCAAAAGCTATTATTGCTGTTTCAATTTAATTCCAATGAGAGCAGGAAGCGCTGGAAAATTTAGCTATTTCTTATTAATTTGAATTGTTCTTCTTTACATTTACTTCCTTTTCAAACTTCTCACTTCATCTGGCTGAACAGTAGTCACTACAGAAGAGGTTACTGTTTGACTGGATAACTGGGATCACATCATTAGCTACTTTCTCAACCACTTTCAGCTATTCTAGTTGACTTCAACTCTGGCCTTAACAGTGTCACATACTCAAACCAAACCTCCGAACAACCTTCAAAGTGATCAACAAACAAATGTCTATGTTGCAGTCATCCGTGATCAGGTAAATGAATATTTTAATTGTATATACCATTGTCCTGTACATTAAAACATTCAAGTCACCTTGCGCCGTGTTTGAGAAACATGGATCTCATTTGCTTTGTCTACTTCATGAAATACATTTACTGATTAAATTTATTGGTTGAAATTAATACACAGTAATTACAATGTTCAGCTTTCAGCAATTGTTAAGTCACAGTGAAGTTGACCTTTGACCATTTGGATATAAAATGTCATCACTTTATCATTTTATCCTTATAGACATTTGTATAAAATTCTGTCATACCGTATGAGTGATTGAGTTATGGTCCAAAATGTTGTGTGAGATCACAGTGGCCTTGACCTTTGACCTCTGATCTCCATATTCTAATCAGTTCATCCTTGAGTCCAGGTGAATGTTTGTGCCTAATTTGAAGAAATTTCCTCCAGGTGTTAGAGATATGTTCATGAGAATGGGACTGACAAACTGAAAATATCATGAAGGGGGCATCCTGGAGCCAAGGGGGTTAAAGACGCTCACCATGTAATTGCAATGTCCTCAGTTTGGCTCTGCCTGGTGACCTTTGTTGCATGCCCCCACCCCGTGTCAGTTCTCTAATATAATCTATGTAATAAAGAAGAAAAGTACTTTTTACTTACATCAGTTAAATTCTCTGAACCTTAGTTTCTGAGCAGAAAAAAGCTAAAAGCTACAACTACACCCGAGTTAAACAATACAGAAAGTGGTTGAAAGGTGCTGCAAAAGCCCAGTTCTCACATTTACACTCAGTGTATAGATAAGTTGCCTCCCTCTGTTAAGAAGTTATGAAACCAAAGGATGAACTTAAACCTTTTCCCACAGGTGGAATAATGGATTATCAACAAGAAATAAAAATGTACATAGAGTATTGTGTCCACCATAAAAGTTCAGCAGGTTCGGTCACAGCTTTTTCATCTCAGCGGTGAGTTTCTTTTGCCATCGACAGATAATCACCGACACTGAAAGACAAACACTAATTAGTGATTCAAACCAAGCAGACAGACAAGAAGATTTCATCCAAAAAGTGGAGTAGAAAAGCTTCTCAATCAGTATTTCTACCACCATTAGATACCTAGACTCTACTTTTAATAATAATTTAACTAATCTATTTTAACATACCTGTACACAATAATACAGAATTTAAAGGAAACTTTTGAGGAAATTGATTGAGGTTCAGACCTTCATATAAACAGAAAAAAATCACTTCAGCAGTACAGCCTATTTAATGTACTTACCAACAATAATACATGGTATCAGCAGGATTCGCAGTATCAGAAGGACACAATGCAATAAAGATGGAGGGTCTAGTCTTACAGTCTTGTCACCATACATTATCTGGAAAACAATAACAGCACTGCAATAAAGAATTTTACAGGTGGACATCTCAGGACACCAGTGGGTCAAAAATAGAAAAACTGTATGGTTACTTTCAAAATCGTGCCATGATTTTGAAAACCACTGCATGAAAATCAATATTTTCCATGAAAGAATTAAGTGCTACCTTGATCAACATTATCCTGCCTATAACTACAGTAATGTTGGGGTTGTATTTCTTTATAGCACTGTCTAGGTTGGTGTAGTTTGAATGAAAGATTTACCATAAAGTGCTGGAATTCAGCATCTGATGTGCGCTGAATATCACAGGTGAAAAAGTCAGTCTTGTTTACAGTTTCTTTCACCACCATGATACAGGGGTACTGCTTTTCTGCCTGAATGCCCCACACTGAAATATCTGCTGTTGTCATCTCCAGTTTGTCTGCCTTTTTCTAAAACGACAAAAGAAGCAAATGTTGACCGTTTATGAATTGATGCGATATGTGTGCGTGTGTGTGGAAAATATGTTGTACCTCTATGGTGATGTGCAAATTGTCCCCCATTCTTGTGGATGTGAAACCAGTAAATTCAGGGTCTGGATAGTAGGTTATTTTAGTGGAGCAGGACAAGGTTTCATTGGCTACTTTCAAAAACACAGTGCTGGTAAAAGTCCCCCGAAGGTTTCCAGCCGCAGGTGCATCATAGGTGAGACTCTGATGTAAATATTAAATAACAAAGTAAAGTGGTTAATCTGTGCATGAGATAGCATGAGATCACATGATAACCTGGTATATCGTAAAATAAAGTGATGTAATGCCACACTGAAAGATATGATGTCATTTAAAGTTAAAATACTCAAATTTAATCAAATTTTTGATATTATTTGTGGACAATTTTTTTTGCTACTGGTCATTCAATATATTTACATTCTGTAATTAGCTCTTTGTCTCTATGTAGTTTTCAATGTTAGTGATGCAATATTCCCACACTAGCTTCAAATTGCGATCTCATGCAGCAGAGATTCACAGGCTGCACTGTAAACAGATACACCACTTTCTCTTCTGTTGTATCTATCACAAATGCTAATCGAGATGCTAAAGGAGTGTTTACTGTGGTATTAAACCACACTTGCTGCCACCTACCACGGGTGTTGCCACATCAAGCAACAAGACTTAAATGTTATGGAGTCTACCTATGATGTGTAATCACAAACTGGGAGATAACATGACATGAAGCATTGCAACAAAAATGTAACATAATGGGACATTATGTTACAATATAAGATGATTGACACAGGATTGTTTCATGTGACATAGTCCATTATATCATTATCTGACATTCTCACTGTGCATTTGTGTGTGCATACAGAGACCTACCTGAAAGTTGCTGTTTCTGGGAAGCCTGACCTCCTGCGGGGCGTGGCTGTGTGTGACCCTCTCCACAAACTCAAGGTGGGATCCCATTAGTGTGATTTTCCTCTTCCCACTAAATGACACAGAGAAGCAGAGGAATTTTCATACTGACAGACACCGAAGGAGCACACACAGTTATAGTAATGCTAAAAGTTTTAGTTGTTGAAACACTTTCTGGTGTCAAGCAGCACAAGTAGCTGCTGGAAATATTTAGATGAGATCAGATGTCACAGTGCTGTTGATTGGCACTTTGACTTTTTTCTTTGTTTCTGTCTGTGTGTGTGTGGGAATATTAAATCTCACATACAAATCATACCTGTCCCAGGTGCTGCTGGGTGTGATGTTGGCGCAGAAAGGTAAGGAACTGTAGGTGATTTTCATGTTGCCATGGCAACTACCATCTGGGAGGAGGGCACATACTTTGACCTTGCCTTTTGATTCTGTGCTGGGAATGTGGAACGTCAGATTCACACCTGTGTTGTTCCACACAGGAGATCTGAGCAGAGCACACAGGAAGACAGAGAGAGAGGGAGCAGTTCATTGCAGAGTTCATGACTTTTTTTTCATTTAAAAAGATATTGGTTCAGAAATCTGTATAAAAATAACCATCCAATAACAGAGCAGCAAAATCTGCCTTAGTATAATTCATGAGATGAAATTAACAAATCAAAGAAAATAAAATTTCCAAATAGAAACTGCTTTTAATTTAACATCATATAACATGGTGATATTAACATATGAACATTAAAATAAAAGATGTAAAAAAACTGGTAAAAAAGTAAACACAACGTGCAAGCAAGCCCATGAAGTGCGTTGATAGTGTGAGTGAGTCTGAATTTTCTAATCAAGTGATTCTAATGAAATAAAACAAATCTATACTTAATTTACACAAAAATCCTGTGGATCACAAAACACTATTTTACATCAAAAATCCAGCTTCTGGCTTTAGGAAAGATTCGTGCACTTCATCCTGCAGCCAAACACTCCTGACATTGCTCAGAAAGTTGGTCGTAACACTGTTGCAGAAGTTTTCCACTAATGTGTGTGGAGACTGTGCTGGCAGTGGTGGAGCCCTTTGTGGTGGCACAAAAACTACAATCTTGTTTGTTTTTTCCTGTGTGGTGTACATAGTTTAGTTCTGGTCATAAAATGTGTATCTAAAATACACCCCTGATAGTTTGTGGATGTGCAGGCAATAAGAAAGAGACAGTGCCATTCTTTTTATTTTCTGTTATTATTTTTATTAACATTAGCGGCTTTCAGTACTTTTGTAGCTTGTACCTGAACCTCTGCTCTTTAGAGTTTGGTCCCTTTGTTCCTGTTCTTAGTTTCATCTAAGAAAGTTCAGTGTCACTATTTATAGACGGTGAAATGCTTCTGCATAAGAAAAAAATATTAACCTGAACTGAATATCTATATAGTGCCATATGAGGTGGCAAGCGACAGTCTGGCGCCATAAAATTTACATGATTTTTCAGTTTTTCGTAACCTGAACTTTTTTTTTGTTTTACCCTAGACAGTTTACTGCTGACCTTTGTACCATTTAAGGTTTTTCCACTGGACCTGAACTACTGAAATTTAAAAAAAAAATAGCTGGAAAAATTGGGGTGTTCAAAAACATTTCACCAGTAGTGTATATGAAATGAAAATACTGTGTAAAGAATCTTTAAACTGACTCACTCTCGTGGAGAGCAGTCGTCAGTCTGGATCCTCACTCTGGTCACATCATTGAGGTTATGACCGCTCAACACTGCATGGTTTCTGCCGTAGAAAGACACGACACTGGGAGTGATGGAGGAGATCTCTGGCCTCTGACAGTAAAACACACAGAAAAACAATCATTTTAACGTGTCGCCTTCTACTGATGTTTTAACCTCGACTGAATGTGAAGAAGGTGAACTTCAGATGAAGAATGTGTGTGAGAGCTGAGGTTCAGACTCACAGAAAAGTTCATCCCTGACCCCATCATTTGGCAAACACTTTCCTGCAGGAGGAAGTGGGGGAAGAAATTCAGCAGGATTACATGACACTCACTGTGAAGGTATTATTAGAGTCGATTCAGGACATTCAGCTAAAGTCAAAACCTGGAGAACAGTAGAAAACAGCCAGGCTGAGGGATATGCCAACACCTATAATGCTGCTTTATTTACATGGTGTACGTATGTGCAGAAATAGAAAATGAGACATTTTGGTTTAACCTGCATTGGACTCAGTGAAACACAGTCAGACTGTCGTCACAGTGAAGCTGCTGTCTTTGCAAAGTGTCTAAACTCTGAACCACTCTGAGCAGGCAGCTGGGTGGTGACTCAGTTGGTGACTAGTTTGTTAACGTTAGAAAACAAGACAATATGTAAATAAGATCGATGTGGAAGGCATTCCGTTTCATCTCCTTTCCCATTTGTTCACGTATGTTAGATAAATACATAAAAATATGCATAATTACATTCCTCACTCCCTGATTTGCCCAGGAACAGTGGTTTTTGCTCCAGCCACATCCAGCCCTGATACACTGCTGACACCTGAGGAGGAAACAAATCTTATAACATTTTGGTGTAAAGACCAGCGTCAGTATAACACTAGAAATATGGATCACAACGACTTGATAGATCACAAAGATCACAACATAATAATATATTATTCCTGGTTGTGAGCAGAAAGGGTTAAAGTCTTTTTCTTTATATAACTGGGACCTGATGCTTTTGACTCATTATGTGTTTCAGCTTTTTCAGCTTTATCTGCTTTTAATTATATTAGACATTATTAGTTCACAGTAGGTGTCTTTGTGTATTGACAGTGGTAGTGGACTTACAAGACAGAAGTTGGCGGTCCTCTGATCTCAGAGCAGTTGGTTAGCGTCAGTGGTTCCAATAAGGTCAATGTGCCAAGTCTAATTCTTACACCGACTGCCAGGCCTGAAATGCAAATAACACATTGAACATTACAGTTTTCAGTGATTCATGTTTACATGTAATATAACTAGAGGCATCACAGGTTTGTCAGCTGATAAACAACTGTATATAAGAGTAAAGTTACTGATGGCAGCTTTCTCAAGCTTTCAGTTTTACTTTAAAACCATCATCAGGAGCAGGCAGAGGTGACAAGGAAACAACAGCAAATAATACCAGGTGTGACTGACTGCTCAGGTACAACAGTTAGGCTGATGATAAATAAGCCTGTGTGTTTAATATTAGCAGATCCCCTGATAAACAACTGGTGTTCCCATTGTTAAGTACATAATTCATGAGATTATTACATTTATCAAATGTTACTGACCTTCGGCAGGAAGTATGTTCTCAGAGAGGATGCAGATGCATTGTGGGAACTGTGGAGGAAACTCATTCTTCCTACAAAGCTCTCTGGAACTCACAGGGAACTGACAGGCGAAGTTGGACCGTGCCTTCTCGCCCGCAGTCAGGTGTGTCAGGATGTTAAGTGTGATCTGAAAAAGGTCTCGTTGTGAGTGTTTAAAGGACAAATAACTGACACACAACTGATCAGAGTTAAAACTTGTCCTCTCTACCTGGCCGGTGGAGTCCTTAGCAACATTGTGGGAAACCATTTTCTGCTGGTAATCATCAGGAATGGACACCCAGTCTGAATCTTTGCAGTCATCTTCAAATGTGCAACTAGGAAAAGAAAAATATTTTATAACCAAGTTTAAAGTTGTTTAAAGATGTCTGAAGACGTCAGATGAGATGTTTCACTGACCTCTTAGAGTCACACCAGACACAGTATGGATCCTGTGCAGACCAGCACTCCTGCACATTTTTGTATGTGCTGCACGTTGACACGGGGACACGCTCCATCTAGAAGAAAACACTGACACTTTGCTACACTTTGAAATACAACATACGCACATGTGACATTGTGGTAATAAACAACCACTGTGTTCACCACCATCTTACATGTGATACATATGTGGTACAATCCACCCACCTTGTTCTGAAATGGCACGTACACATGTTTACGATCGACTTGATCCAGTTGTATTTTGGGAAACACTCTGCAGTCATCATTGGCCCTGTAGAGCACCGTGGGACAGACGGTGTGATAGTTCTTATCCACAGCAAGCTGACAACAAGAGCATAGCTTTGGTCATGTTCTGAGAAACTGAGCTGCTGCTGGTCAATATCAACAGTTGAAGTAAAACTGATCTTATCTATCTTACCCTGATAAAACTATCATTTTGAAAGGCAAGCAGGTAGGTAACCTAGGTAACCGATTCACCTACACACAAACCATGTAACGTGTATTTTTGGCTTTTCTCAGCCAATGAAATTATACTTAACATTAACATCTTAACACCTCATTTTACCACGAAAACCTCCATATGCAACTTTTACTTGTACTAGGTATGTATAAGAAACAGCTCTATTTCCTGCCACAGTTTAAACCCTGTGGTGGTGGCAGCACAATATTTCCTGATATGGATTAGTACCTCTTACTCTTACTAACTCTTAATAGTGCTGTGGTCAGGTTGGATTTATGTCAGCTAGTAATGAATTCAAAAGATGCTTGAAAAAAACCTAAAAGTGTCCACAGAATCATAATTCAGGTCGACACCCTTCCAGCTCACAAATCTCTTTTTAAAATCTCGTTTCATCAAAATAGCATTGACAGGAAACCACCAAGAGATGTGCAAAACACAGTGAACAATATTTTACATGCTCTATTTAGAAGATGTTGAAAGTGTTTCAATCTGGAATAATCTGAAAACATCCCATAAATCTACAAAGTACTTACTGCAATGAGATAAACATACATCATGGTTACTAAATAAAACTGTAACAGAGGCCTTTAGAGCATCCTATATATTTGCCATTTATTTTTGGTCAGACCTATGATCACAAATGTCTGTGACTGACTGACAGAGTTGAGTGAGCATATTTCCACCATTGGTCAGCTCAATGCCACGTGCCTGAGTTTCATCATTGGCCGTTGCTCTTTCAAAATGAATTGGGTAAAACAGTTTCTATTAGGGGGTGTTTACAGTCTGCAGTGTCGCCAACTTAGTGCATTTGTTGCTGGATTCAAGACTTATTTTCAGACAAGTGCCTCTTGACAAATCTAGCAACTTTTTGGACAAACGTTAGCTACTCAGCATCTGTGTGTACAGCTGAAATCACAACTCAGTCTTTGTCTTTAACTGATGTGTTTGGTGATTTTGTCAGAAAACGTCATGGTTATAAAATCAGGATCTTAGCAGCAGCTTGGAAGTGACTGCTGGTTAACATGTAGTCTTATGGTCATGTGGCCCACATTTCAGTCACTATTTCAAACTTGTTCTGTCTCACAACAGAAACAGGAAAACATATAAAACGGCTATATTGTGAATTCAGCTGTATTAGGCAGAGAGTAGGAGAGAAGCACATAGATAAAGAGCCGAAACCAGCTGACACTAGGCTGAATGCAGACGGTTCCACAAGTTTTCAACTGTGTCCTCAATTTCACACACTGAACATACGTGGTCCAGACTTACATTATACTAGCTTTTAAGCTTTTTTTTTTTTTTTTTTTTTTTACATCAGTTTACTTTTATTTATTTTATTAGATATTTTCTTTTTTTCCAATAGTATCTTTTTCAGTAATGGACAGAATGTGTATCACTTCACTTCTTATAAACACCTTAATGAGCTGCCCAACGTCCGTCCTGATGAAGAAAACAATCCAGGCCTTCTGCCTCACTGCCAGCACAGAGGTCATGTGGTTCTGCCTGAAGAGCACTGCCTCCGGCTTCAGTGTCTTTGGCGGAGAAACACACACACATCTATTATCACTTTTACATCCAGACAGCATTCATGGTATTCTGCAGTGAAGAGATCTCAGGTTAGAAGCAAGTATTGAGAACACTTCATGTTAAAACTGCTCAAAGTTGAATTAGACATGTTGCTATATTACACTATGAAGCACACACCTTGACTTATGTCTCATCAATTAATATCTTGTGATATGTCTGTGTGGTGATATGTTGAATTATTATCTTTGTGTAGGTGACTCCTGCTACCACAGTTGAAAATAAAAAGCATTAAATGTATTTAACCCTCAATCATGCAGGGTCTTCATGTGTTTTGTTTCTATTTTGTATCAAGCCCCACAGAAAATATATAGAGTACCAGGATGTGGTTTTATGTACACGTTGCAGTGAGGACAAAAAAAACTTTCCATCTAATTTACATGCAATTGCATAGGTAGGTGTATAATTTAATAGTTATCTAGTTTCACCAACATTTAGATTTAATATTTCGATTAAATATTAACATTATTAAAGAAAACATGACAAAGCTGGTAAAAAATGTTTTTAAAAAATATTATTTGAGTTAAATGTGGCACAATGTTGCTGTTGATTTCAATAAGCACCATAAATATTGTACAGTCTTGAATTCTTATTTAATTCCATGTAAATCTATTAAGCTTCATTTGATTTTCATTTTTTGTTATAACTTAACTTGCTGGAATTTTAAATGACGAAAACATAATGAGGATCGACCGTCGGTCTTAACTTCTTATTACAGACACTGCATATGCTGATAATGAATTATCATCAAAGTATATGACATGAGTGTGCAGCTACAGTAACTTAAAGCTGAATTTTTTGTCATCCGTTACCTTTTTAACCGTTTGCTTGGGAGTACAATCACTACAGAAGTCTGGATCTGCATCGGCCTCTCCGCTGAGATCAGGGCTGATGTCAAACACTACCAGCTCGGTGTTCAGCTGTCCTTCACCCACACTGAACACTCCGCTCCAGAGCACCGGCGGACCGCCCGGGATCACCGAGGAGGCCAGGAGTCTGTTACCGTCACCACCACCTTCAGAGACACTGAGAGTCGCGCCCCGCAGCGACTTGACAGTCTCGACCTTGTTGGTTTTGCCCTCAAACCAAATTAGATGGACTTTGTTACTTTTGGAGCCGGAGGGCACGTTGGAGAGCAGATATATGGTTGAACTGATCTGAAATCCGTCCACAAACTCCACATCGCCTTTACTTTCGAAAGAAGATAGGGGTTGGTCATCATTAAAAGAAAATATACCTCCGGGCTGCTTCTCATCCGTATTCTGAAGGTTGAGAGTTTTGGTACTAGGGGGGCAGCGGCTCGGACCGGAATGTTCTTGATGTTTTTGCTGTATCGCGGTCAGAATGTAAAAGTGGCTCTGGGTTGGACTCTTCTCCACTGTCACCAAGACTGAGACGGACGCGCTGCTGCGCCTCAGTGGTCCCACATAGATGCTCTCCCTGTGCACAAAGTTAGAGATGTTCATCAGGTCCAGAACTTCACAGTAACCACACTCATCGTCGGTCACCCCGCAGCTGATCAGAGTGCCGTTCTCAACAAATGGCAATAACACGTTGACGCTGAAAGTTGCGTTCCACCACGCCATCTCAGAAACACGGTAGAAATGCTCCTCAACCGGCGGGATGGCACCGTCCTTCATGAATCCTCTCTGGGTCAGACTCCGGACCAGAGTCAGGTTGTGGCTCAGCTGATACAGCCTCTCCTCTGTAGCGATGTAAACCGAGTTGGAGGCCACGGCGAAGTGACGGATATCTCCATCAAAAGTGAAGCCTCCATCCTCCCCCCGACACCGACCCGGTTCTCCCCAGAGAATAAACAACAGACCAGGCAGCAGGATCATGTTCTAGCAGCTGTGGCAGCTTTAAGTGGGAAACCCTCATACACTGACGACCTGCATGGCTCTGTACACTCCGCTAGTGCCACTAGTCGTGCGTAAAAGCGCAGCGCGCCTCTGCTGAAAAGAGAAGCGCATAAAGTGGGAGGAGAGGCCCGAAAACGAAAGCATTCAGATTAACTGCATAACTGTTTCTCAGATATAAAGATTTAGCAGCATCTCTGTTTCACTCAGCTCCATTCGTCCCACTTTTGTAATGTTTTTGTCTAACCATAGAACCTGCGTGCGCCTCCAGGAGAGCAAGAGATAGTGCCGGTCTCATTAACTTTTCCATGCAATAACAGGTGCGCTGACTGCCACTAAGATCAGAAAGACATATCAATATTCTACAAGATCTGTGTGTAATGTGCAGAACACAATATTAAAGCCATTCTGTGAAGTGTGTCCACTGACACACTGATGGGTCATCTCATGTTCTGCAGCCAAACTTTATTTTAAAATCTAGTGTATAAAATGATGCAGAAGACATCAGACTGGACGGACTGGATATTTGTAAAATGTTCCTTTTTGAGAGAAGTTGAGGTTTACCATGTCAATGTGGATGATCAACCGTTGACTGAATATATGAAAATAGAATATCACAGTAGAACAACAAAAGCTGGATATCATGAGTAAAAGTTTTCCCTAACAGCCAGAACATTATTACCAGATAGTGTGAATTTTAAAACGGTTGGGCTTTCCCTGAGTGAGCCCGGAGCCTGTGTTATCGCTTCCAGCCACTAGAGGTCGCTGGGCCCCCTCGGTATGACCGTGCAGCGGCACGCAGCAGCAGCCCGGTCAGAGGCAGCAGAGTGTCGGAAACTCCAGCAGCTCCGCTCCGTATATTTCCACTGACCCTCCGTTTCGAGGATTCATTCATCCCAGGCAGAGCTGCTGCTTGGTCTGTCCGGACAGGAATCCGTCCACTCATTCACGCGTCTGTCCATCTAGCTGCACACATCCCCTCCGTCCATCCAGCGGTGCGTGGCGTCCGCATCTACATCTAGGAAGGTTACACACATCGTTATTGATCAGCGGACCTATCAACTTTTTTTTGTTTTAAATTCATCTCCTCGTGATCAGCGCCTCATCATCGGGAGATTATTACTGCATTCAGCGGTCTCTGGTGAGTCTTCCTGCCGGTGTTTTCATGTGGGTTTCGTCCCTTCAGGGGGCAGCTCTGCGACACCGAGGTGTGGTAATGATCAAACCTGTGGTCAGGCCACAAGGTTTGAGATTTTCCTAACAGGGTGACACCTTTAGCGAAGGTCATGACACACAGATTCCTCTGGGGTGGAGCTGTCCCTCGTGACATAAAGACAATAATATCTCTATGATATTTCCCTGGACATTTACGCTCGTCTTTGGTGTTCATGCTTGTTTAAATTGACCTTATCTAGCTCAATGCTCATTGATGTTATATAAGTCTTAGTAACATATTCTGTTTTTTGTAAGATGAGCTGCACTGTAACATAAAAGTTGGATTAATCTTTCCAGTCAGTCATTTGGGATATTAAATGGGACCACAGGCAAAATAGTAGTTTTCTTTTCCTGTAATACAATCACGGTTGCATATCTCATATGCAGCTTCATCTTACTTTGCTACTTGATCTCTCTCCACCTTCCACTCCTGGGTTCAAGGACATAATCAGCATTCAGGAGCAGCTCTTAGTGTTGCATAATGGCCCACATCTCAATGGGATTTAGGATCAGTAAGCGCATCCCATAAGGGCGCTTGCCAAACCAGGCTTCAGGGGAGTCCGAGGGGTCCTGACGAAGGTGGTATGCCAAGAAAAATGAAAAATGGGTTGATGTGCTGTGATTGAAATCAGACAATGCTCAAAAACAGGAAGTTTAAGCAGGTCTTAGCTGATAAGGTGCATCTAGTATAATGGACCCTAATGAAGTGCAATGGTAATGACTCAGCGCCTGTTCTGAGTTATTTTTACCAGACTTTAGAATTTCTATGTTATGCCACTTTCTTTGACGGTTCACATTTAAACACTGAGTGTAAACATAACTTTTATTCCAACAGGCACCTTTTTACTTTTTGAAGCTAACACTTTTGTACTTGAAGTAAAATTTCTATTAGAGGACTTCTACTTAGAACAGTGTCGATGTCAAACTGTGGTATTTCTACTTCTACTCAAGTAAAGGATCTTCATTCTTCCTCCACCTCTAACGATTTGTAGCTGTTCTTATCTGTGTTTAGTTTACTGTGTTTGTGTGAAGTGTTTTTCTTCCCACCAACAGTGGAGAAAGACAAATATCTACCCTGAGGAGACTTTGTGATAAAATCATGTGATCAAACAGGGACAAACTGGCCCAACGTCTATGAGTGTGAGGGCTGTCTAAGAGAGACCTGTCACCACTGGCTGAAAACACCAACAGTGTATCTCTACAGTGAAGACACAATTTTTACTTTATTTTCGTTTTATTGACATTTTAGGAAAATATCGGTAATCTAATACATTTGAGAATTGGGGCATTCTTTCCCTCACTGGTTTCCCTTTAGAGGCAGTGCACCAGTTCACTGTATGTATTTTAATGACAGGCCTGTGGTTTGCAGTCTTTCTATAGCTTGTGGTGCAGCAGGTCTCCTCCCATGGTTTGGAGCTCAGAGGTCTGTAATCTCCCTCAACCACAGCACCACCACCCAGATTCAGTTCTCAGGGTAAAAGTGACACAGCTGGGCACGCAGTGGAAAAAATACACGTGCCCAGTTTGACAGTTTGGATGGAGTCCCTGTACAGCAGAAGTTTATGGGTAAAAAAAACAATAACTTAATTGTAGATTCTAGATAGAGGGCAACAGTTTTTTCCTCTTTCCCAACAGAGAGCGGTTTTGGGTATGTAGACAGTCACGTATTGTAATAGTTTACCAGGATGAAACTAAAGCCTGATGATGTGCATCTCAGTAATGGTAATTATAAACAGAAGCATGCTGAAGAACTTTGTTTCAGGTTTAAATCACAGTTGGTGCCCTTTGCCTTCAGTCTGAAAAGCAGTAGTATAGCAGTACTTTTACTACTCTGTCTGGCAGCAAATTAGCTATCACTTGATGCAGGTGATATTTGTACTATTCAGTTTGTACTGTAGCAGTGTAGTTAGTCTTAATTGTTTGATTATTGCGGAGAGTTAGGAGAGGATTGGTGCTACTCTCACTTCTGTCTGTTTAATATGAAGCTACAGCTAGGAATCGTTTTGCTAAATACTGGAAGCAGCAGAAACAGCTAGCCCGGCTGTGTTCAGCTAGTGTGGCGCAATGTGGCCAAGAAATAGCCCCGCACCTAACTAACCATTTAACCACAACTTGTGGTCCCCTCACTCCCCTCGCTCAGGTTGTCAGCCATTGACTGAACCACAACTTTTTTTTGCAGCTAAAACCACTGAAAACACCAGTTAAATACATTTCCCTTAATGGATTTCGCCTCACAATCTAATCACAATGCAGTTCATCAGTCACATGAACGACGAAATCATTCAGTCTAAATGGGTTAATATTTAGAGAGACTGAGAGAGGAACAACTAGTCCAAGACAAAGACGTGTTACTTAGATGTCTTTGTGGCAGGCCTCACTGAAGGCCTGATTGCTATCCAACAAATCTAACTGATCAATCAATCCACAGAGGTCATTGACAACCTGCAGTCCATGTGTCTATCTCTGCACTGGATGCAACTGAGGTAAAGGTGATAGTGACCGTCTTGTCTGACAATTCAAAGGTGGCGAACAAAATACTGGACTGGTATTTTAAATGCATGAGCTGCTGCTGGTGTTCGATTGTACTGTTTGTCTTGGCTCTCTGTAATACTTCTCTTCTTTTTTTTTTTTTTTTTTAGAAGCTTTGTGTTTTATCATACAGTATCATTGTAGTTCTTTTTGTCTTTGGCTTGGACAGTCTATGTTGTTTTTGTCTCAGATCCAAACTGTCATAATACAGTATATTCTTTTCTTTCTGCGTTGGGTGTGTGTGCTGTGTTTGCACTTTCTATTGTAGTCAGTAAAACTTGATCTGTCCTCAAGAAGAAAGTTCCAGATGTTTGTCCTGTGACTTCACTACATAACTGTGTGTGTGTGTGTGTGTGTGTGTGTGTGTGTGTGTGTGTGTGTGCGTTTGTAAGAGAGTGAGTCAGGTTGGTGGGTGAAGTGGGTGGAGGCCATAAATGGCAAAATGTGAAGAAGAATGACCGTGTTGTAGGGAGACACTACTGTGTGTTCCTCTTCCTCCTCTTTCACTGGTGTTTCCCTGCTGCTGCGTAGGAGAGGGATCACTGCAGTGGTATGTATGTGTGTCTGTGTGTGTGTGTGTGTGTGTGTGTGTGTGTGTCTGCTTACAGTAATATGTGCAAGATGTAAAATAGATGGAGAGAGGAGAGAGAGAGGAAGCAAGTACATAAATGCCAGAAAACAGGCAGAACAAAAAAAAAAATCACAAGTTTGTTGTTACAGAAAGGAGCCATACAAGCTGTTTCTGTGAGCTGCAACTATTCCACCATATCCTCTTATGTTCTACAACGAAGCTACAACCAGTAGTTGGTTAGCTTAGTTTTGCATAAAGCCTGGAAACTAGTCCAGCTCTGTCCATACGTAACAAAATGTGCCCCACAGTATATCTTAATACAAAACCTGAACTGTACAAACGGCAACCCTTTTTTCTTGTCCTGGGTGAACGAACACTTTACGCTTGTTAAGTTCTTCTCCAGACATGTTTTAAACTCTGTAAAAATACACTGCTATTAATATTTTGTGGTTTTAACACATGAAAAGTGAAAAAAAAGGGAAAACTGGGGGTGGATGCTCATCTACTCTTACTTTCTCATTGAGAAATTCTGTTCAGGCCTTATGTCCCGCCCACCACCACTGCTTGTGCTAGGTTGACAGGTGAAAGAGCAAGATGGTCAGAGGAGGAAACATCAGAGAGACTCAGCCACATGTTTGAGCCTCACTCAGACCCAGACTCAGATGAGGAGTCTGGTGAGACCAGAATCAGAGACTAGCAGGTGGATCAGAACGGTTAGCGTAGTTAGCATCTTTTATTTGTTTATGTTGTTTGTTAGCTTGTAACTGGCAGTGGCTGAGACAGTGTTAGTGGTTGGGCTACTACTAACTCTCTCTCTGTACTTACAAGGTTTCAGGTCCCCCCCCCCCATCCCCACAAGTTGCATTTTACTCATGTGTCTTGTATTATATAAAAACACCATATGGATGTTAACAAGGTTAAATACTTCTTTGTCATTGGAGAGGGTCTTTAAGACCTGTTACTGAGGGTGATGTGGAGTCAGGTTAGCTGTTTCCAGTGATGAAAGAAATGATGAAAGAAAGTGATGGGATTTATGTGGTGGAATCTACTGAAGTTCACCACTTCATAACTGAATGGAGTTCAAATAAACATTCAGTAAGTTTTGCACTGAATATTGAGGGGAAAACCTTTTATTTTTGCATTTGATAAGTGGACAAATGTCCATTTTTCATATAATGGGGAGGGGTCATGACCCCCCGGTACCCCACGGTGCTTACACGCGTGTTCCCAAACACCTCAGGCTAAACTAGATGGACAGACTAAAATGTTGCAGCAGTATTACAACATCATTCAGTGTTTTGACTGTGCTGTCTGGTCGGTGGAAATGTGCCCACATTAATAATGGTGAAAACAAAATATTTAAAGATGCCGACGGCTGCCATGATGACCCTTGCCGAGTGAGAGAGATGGATGATCGACCTCCACTTGAGCCACACCAAGCGGCACACAGACACACCATATATGGATGTGTGTGTGTTGGCACAAAAGGGAGCAGGTTAGCTTAAACCCTGAGTGTGTCTATGTGTGTGTTTCCATTGTGGATGAAGGAGGAGAAAGCTGGAAGTTTGCCAGTTCATAACTTCAACCAGTGTGAAGTTGGCTAACATGTTTCTGACACCGTCACATTTTTCAGCTTTTACTGAGCTGAACAGTTTGTGCTGAACTTGTGACTCTTCAGTTTTCTCCCATTTTTCTCGCCATATCTCGTTTCAGCCAACAGATACTAACAGAGAGACGAGTCTAATTTATACACTGACAATAGATCTTTTCACAAACATGGCAGCCGCTCCGTAGAAGGCTATAAATTGGTTCTCATCATTGCCAATTTTCTGTCACCTGTAATCACTTATTAGGTGTTTCATTTTATTCTGTAACACAAAACAAATAATATGTTAGGAATCACTGTTGTCTTTCAATAGCCACAAACTGTCTTGGGCTGCTTGATCAAATCTGACTAACTTTTTTTGGTCCATTTTACGCAGTGTCAGAACTGATCAAAACTTTCTGCAGAAAAATTGATTCATGTTTTATTCCAGTATTTAAAATGTATATTAAAATGACTGATCAGTCTAATGGGAACTGTAAAGCTCAAAATAACGCTAGCGGGGCATTTACATCGCATGCTGTAAATCAATAAATTTAAGTCACCATCTGCATTCCTGCTAATTGGAATTACTTCGTAAGTCACTGTGTCCCAGGATTCCTCTGGAGTCATCCAGATACAGATTTCATTTTCATCATCATCACCATCATCATTGCTTGTTTTTGGTTAACAGTTGGAGCCTCAGCCAGGAGAAAAACAAAGTGTGTTTGGGGCAGAAGTTTAAAATCAATTATCTTGTGAAATAACTTCACAGTGGGTTGTTTTCTTATTAAACAGACTTGTGCTTGGCTGCAGTTTTGTTTTCTTTTTGAACAGGCGAGTTCAGCTCTGTGTCTCTCACTCTTTACTCGACGCCTCCTTGCTCTGTCTTCTGTTCCATTTATCAGCCTTTTGCATCTCACACACCTGCATGAAACATCCCAGTTAGGAGGTCAAAAACTCTGAAACACAGCCTTAACTGTCTCTGTACTACATACTGCTCACCAAGGGGTCTGGAGCGGACACCTTATTGATTGCTCATCTTTGTGTGCGTTCTCTGCTGTGGTTGGACTGTCGGAGGCGTGTGAGGGCCGCCTCCTTCAGCTGATTAAATCTCTGTGGCAGAAGAATAAGGTGCGTTACATTAATCTAATATCATGAATATGCTGCTCAACGTGCTGCACAACAGCACATGACTAACAGTGTGGGTGCCTTTATTAAAGCAAAAATAAGTAACTTTTTCTACACACCACGGACATTTATTCCACAAATGCATGCTCCTCTTCCCCACATGTCCACATACACAAATATGAAGTTAAAGTGGTGCAACAGAAAAAAATGCTTAATTATGCTTGATTATACTACAAATGATATTACTTTCTGTATCAGTATCAAAAATATTATTATGATTAGTATTTCTCTATCAGTTGTACAAATATCACATATATAGTCCAGCAAAGATACAAAAGGTACACACAAATTTTTCCACTTTCTAATTATGATTTCGCTCAAAATCATATAATAATCAACTGTTTATAAATACTGAATATGATATATGAACAACTTCTAATAATAATATCATCTAAACTAACAAATCGGTTATCTCCTGAAATGAGGATCAAACTTTGTAAGAACATCATTCTCTTTGTAAGCAGATTCTGAGATCTACATATTCATATTTGAGATTATGTATATTCATAGTACTGAGGCCCGCCTCACTCTCCTGACTGATAGTCGTCCACCTACAGAATGAACAATGCATTCACTGTGCTCCATCCTCTTCTCTAGATTGAGTCACGCTGTGCCAGGATGCACCGGTGTCTGTCATTACCATAACTGCAAAGACTGCTTCACTAAAATAAAACAATCCCATCATCTCTCAGCCAAGAACACAACCCTCACACACACGTTCTAGAACCACATCCCTTGCTGTGCCAAAAGTAAAAACACCCTCATGAAGTATTACCAGCAAAAAAGGAAATCCTGCACACAAAGCAATGTACTGAAATATACTGTGGCATCAAAAAGTAAAAATGCACTGTCCTACATGTTTCCACAGACGCTGCTGGATGGATGGCTGACCTCGGTGTTCACTGATTGGCTCGCTGAGCTTCTCTGGTTGCACCTGCTGTCATGGCCAAAAGCCCGGAGGTGAAGCTGGCCGTGTTCGGCAGAGCGGGGGTGGGCAAGTCAGGTAAACTGCTGTGTGTCTGTGTTTATCTGTGTCCTACAAAGGCTTGTGGTCTGTTCATTCATAGGTTTTCTTTGATTGTAAACAGATTTTTACTCTTAACTTTGGTGCTTAGATCCATTTTAAATCAATTTTCAGGCAACATGTAAAGGACTTAAACATGCTGCTGTGTATCTTCATTGTTTTGGGTTTTAATTTCTTTCTGCCTCGGTGTATCTCACCATGATGTCTTCTTTCTAATGTTTTCCTTTCATCCTGTCTGCATTTTTATACTCGCCGTAATTTCTCCTGGTTCTCAGTTTGTTTGCGTAGTCAACATTACAGAAGGAGGCTGTTTTTGGTCTGGCTTAAATGTCTTCACTCCCACAGATAAGTCTGTTGAGTCATTATCATTTGGTTTCAGCATTCCTCTGTAAGCAGCAGTAGCAGCAGCGGCAGCAGCTTGGCCTCAGCTGGCGCACTGTACGTTTTCTCCAGTAGCTGAGACAATAACACAGACCACATGTTTCCTGTCGGCTGCAAATCAAGACATATTGCTTCTGTGTCACAATCAGCTGTTCGAAAACATGCTTTGGGATTGCTTCCATGTTGAAGGAGGCCATTAAAATGCCTGAGGAGGTCAACTCAAGTACTGTACTGAAAAGTAGAATGACTGAGGAGTTCATAACCTTCAGCTGAGAGGAGTGCGGTTGTAAAAACAAGGCTGAGAGGCTGACATCAAACTCTGTCTTTAAGGAGGTGTATTGTTAGCCCTGACCATCCTTTCCTCGCTTAAGAAGAGTGTGCACAACCCCCACCTCAGTGATGATTATTGAATTTGAAAACTAACAAGAACATGTTGATTTCTTATCTGATACCAAAGCAGTAGAAATATCACTCAAAACAATCACAGCTGATGATATTTAACAAAATATAAAAGCAGATAACCGGGTGTGAGTGCACTACCTCATTATACTACCATCTGTCATGTCAGCCAGCTCTACTAAACTCCATGATTCGGTTACATAGCGTTCTACAAACCTTAGGGGAAAAGTCAAAACATCAATATTTTACCTGTTGTGTAACAGCGGGTTACATCTTGTAAGGTATTGTTATGATCTCACACTTATCTACTCTCTGCCCTGTGTTAAAATGTTTCATGAATAACAGATAAAATCACTGGGTTTGAATATTGGTTTCACCCCAGGTGGTTTCACAGTAGACACCTGTGGTATCATCAAATTATTCTGAAGATGCAACCTGCTGCTGGATAACAGGTAAAACAAGACTAAAAGTCAACAGCATGCTCTCAGCTCTGAGAGGCTGTACTTAGCTGTACAGATTTATTACAATTCATCCTGATGTGGACATGAACCCCAAGTATCCGCTGAGATACTTCAGCCTGAAGCAGCCGACTGATCAACCATGCCATGGTATGGCAAAAAAATATGTTTTACTTCTCCTTAAGGTTTGTGTTGGGAATGCATGTGACTGAGGTCATGATTGGGGCGAGGACTGATAGAGTCAGACTTAAAACAGAGACTTCCAGACGGTTCAGTCATGTCTTTTACCCTTTTACACCAAAATTACTGGATATAAGTGGGTTTTTTAAACACGGGTAAACCTGCTAAAAAAAAAAAAAAAGGTGAATGACTCCTTTTACTCTGCCAACCGAGTTTGCCTTTCTGAGAGGACACACACAATTGCAGGGAGCAATGTCAATGTTAAAATGGATCACTCGCGTGCTCCTGTCAGTGTCAGAGCCTCCGTGTGAGACTCTTCGATCGGTGATTCATTGTTTGTGCTCTGAGAGATGCCTCAGCACAGAAATGGGGTGAAAATTAGCATGTTCACCCAAGTGTTGTGTTTACATCACTGCTGATCAGAGCCAGAGCCGATAAACACCTGTGTCTACTGCAGTCATTTGACACAGGACTGAATGCTGATTGGACCCTTTCACTTTGCAGACAAAAGCCCAATGTCAGCGGGGTTTTTGACCACTGTAAAAGGGGCTTTTGTTTCCTGACACGATGTCTGGAGTGCAGTGTGAAAGGACAGAGAAAATGAACTGACAAGTCTAACGTCAAAAGAGATTGTTGATAGTCTAGCTTTCAACCTGATTGTTGTCTAGATCTGGTGATTAACTTGTTATTTGCGTGATGGAACACACTTCAACACAGACTGACTACAGACATTTGATTTTCACGTGGACACTTGATTCATGCAGCTCTGCAGTTGCCTGATCCTCTCCTATCACCTGCGTGCCTCCCTTTGCTCTTATTAATGCACAAAACAGACAATCAACAGAATAGCAGTCATTGTGGTCACATCTAAAGCTACATGTAGCCTCGATGATCCCTTCAACAATGATTGGCTCTCATCTAAACATAGTCCTTTAGTGGAAGCCCACCGATGCTAATGAATCAGCTTGTCCACAGTTGACAAACATCTAGACTGTGAATTATACTCCCACTTCATGTACAATATGACATGAGGGAAAAAATAAACACTTACGTTAAACAGGTTGTATATGTTGTTTTGAACCTTTCAATGTGTTCGAGTGAATAAATCTTCAATAACTGCACTTCCATTTCCAAAGAAGTTACATACAAAGCATTTAAGCTGTCAGAGAGAATGTGATTTAAACAGGAGGCCAAGGTTCAACCTCCCACGTAACCACCATCTGAATTGTCTTTGAGCAAGATGCTAAACTCCTGCAATGTGCTATAATGTAGGTGAATGCTGATCTCTGAACCTCCGAGTGGAGGAGGGGTTCAGCTATTCCCACATTACATTTCATCTCATGAAGTGAGCACTGAGGTGATTAATCCATTAGGCAACTGACATGACGTCAAATTTTGATAATAGTCCTTTATCAAGAAGAAATGCCTCAATTTTTCTGATTCCACATTCAAGGATTATCTCTTATTTTCTGTTCTGTATCGCTGTAAAGGGAATGTTTTGAACAGTTGGTTGGACACACAAAAATCATGTTTGAAATGTCATCTTGGATTTTTTGCAATTGTGAAGGGCATTTGTCATTTTTTTTGTGTTTTCTTAATCTTATGGACTAAACTATTAATGAATAGGACTACAGCCATGCTAGCAGCGTGATGATGCTGACATACTATTATGTGTATATTTATAAATATTTGCAGGTATTTAAACCAAAGTATCAGCCAAATTAAAGTATTCACCTGATGAGAAGTTCAGGGCATCAACAGAGTCATTAGGATTCATCCTCTGGGCACTATAAATGTCTATACCTAGTGGACATCCATCCAGTGTTTGTCAAAATATTTCACTCAAAGCCAAACATGGCAACCTCATGCAGTGCTAGAGAAAAAGTCAGCGGATCACCAGACTCATTAAGATTCATCCTCTGGAGACCATGAATGTTTATAGTGATTTCACGGAAATCCATCCCACAGTTGTTCAGTCCAGACTGAAGTGGTGGACTGATGACCCGACTGATATTGCTATCGAAATAGCCACGTCGGTAGCGTGGCTAAAAACTGTCTGTGCGGTCCACATGCAGTATGTTCTTTAAATTAACATCACTTGAAACATCTGACATGAGGTGTGTAAGTATTTGTGTAAACGGCAGCTTTCTGCTATTTACTTCAAAAGTACTAAATACCAAACAAAAGGAATTGTTGCCACATCTTTGCCAGTTTCATTACAAAACAGAATCAGTATCAATATCAGCCTTCAATAACCTCTATAATCTAAACTACAGTACATGTTCTTAATAATGGAGCTCATCTCCAGACTTTGAATACTTGCTTCACTAATTTTTGCATCTTTACTTTGGACAGCAGTACCTCTGCATGTGTTAGTGTGTATGTGAACCTAATGGTTTTTATATGAAACTTACGTATACTTTTGCTTTAGCTGGAATTTTGTTCCCTGCTGGCTGGAGAAAATGTGTACTTAATGAGTGGCAGCAGACCTGCTGGGTGTCTTGGCGTCGTTGAGGGTTAGCTGCACTCTACATGATGGTCTGACCTGGACTGCTGCAGAGCGATCCAGCACTAATAAAGACCAGAGTGTATTAAGTGTGAGTGTAACTGTTCTGGCACTTCTAAGCTTTTTGGTTTATTGACTTGGCAGAGGGAAACTGGGGTTTAGGAAATAAGATAAATTTGTCCATTTACTGCATCTCCACCTTGGTCCCTGCTAAACACACACATCTACACAAGCACAGGCACACCCACAATGAGTTGAAAATGCAATAAAGTACTCACGGGCAAGGGTTTCTGTAGTTTTGTCAGTGAGGAGAAGATGAGTAAACAGTACAAAAGCAAAAAAGTAAGAGAAAAAATTGTCCATATAAGCATTTATGAAGCGTGACAGATGAGGTAAGTGTCCTGTCATTTAAGCTGCTCTTGCAGAGGTGAGGCTGTCATGGATATTAAACCAAAACAGCACATTTTATTTAATTTTACAGCTAAAATAATCAATATGTTTATTTCAACAAAGGTTCAAATTACTACTTGTAAAGTGGGAGGTGACAAATCTACAGAGAATTACAGGCTGACTCTGCACTTGTCCTCAGCTTTATGGAGCGATTTAGCATCTTTAAGCTCATCGTTTTGGTTTTATGTCCGACAACTTTGATGTTTTGGCTCAATCCACCGCTCTCATCTTCTTTGTTATGGTAGCATGCCAAAAAACTCATTGTACCTGCTCAGCACCAACCGACAGCTGGTGAACATAGTGGAGCTTTTAGCAGATACAGAAACACATGACTGGGGACCAAAACAGAAAAAAATGTGGAGTAATACTTAACAATCAACAGGTGGACACAAATAAGCTCAAAATGAATGCTAATGTTGCTCATTGTCTACTATCTCTCTACTCTCTATGTTCAACGTCATACTGTGATTATATGTCAGTGTTTACAGATCTACAAATCTATAAATGCAGTTTTAAACAAGAAACATTGCTTTTCTATATTTTTTCCAATTCTTTTAAATTTGTTACTTTTCTCAGTTATAATTCAATTAAAATACAACCTTTGT